AAAAATATAGTAACTATAGTTTTTGAACGTGCGTCTCTATATAATCCATAGCTTACAGACTTACAAAAATAGAAAATAATACGATTCTCAGTCACCTGGCTTATTTTGGATAGAATTAGAGTGGGTTGTGGCACATATTTCCAGAGACTGCGTTTCAAACTCGTTAAGTCAAAATAATATAGCGAGAATTTTTATACAGAATGTCTCAAATTTAAGAATGGCATTTTTGTCTCGAAAATTACGAGAGAGCAAACGCTATATTGGGGCTAAGTTGATGGCAAATATTTAAAATTAGTTAAAACTATACAGGGTGGTCCGAACTGTATTCCGGAAACTTCGGCAGCATATTCTGCAGATAAATATAAGTAAAAAGGTTCGTATAAATATACAGAGTGGCCCATCGAAAACGTTCCGCAAGGCATAACAGCCAGGGTATTTTTTTTTCGAAAAATCCAAAAACACATCAATTTTGTTTGTTAGGGGGACAACTTTTGCCCCAAAAATGATTGCAAAATCTTCAACCCTCTAAGGCGAGGGTGTCATCCCCCAACTTTTTTCCAATGGGAAGGGGGTCAAGTGGCGTCACAAAAAGAGGCTTTCTATTCTCTATATTTCCCGCTTCGTTTAAAAATCGGTGGAGTCATTTTTGAAAATATGAAAGACTGAAATTTGAAAAGTACTTTTTGCAAAAAACGCATAAATTGAATTAATTAAAAAAAAACTTATCTTATTAATGAAGAAAATGCTGAAAATGTTGCCCGTCAACCTCCAGCCACAGTAATACAAAATTATTTTCAACCCGTTCAGAATATTCTGAAGGAACTTGCAGGGGTCACTTCGCAACGAAAACATCAATAATTCGTCTTCGCAGGTCTTCTATTAAGGGCGGGTGGAGTGCTATACACTTTACTTTTTATGTGTCCCCCATAGAAAAAAGTTTAAAGAGTCAGAATCGGGTGACCGGGGAGGCCACTCAATTGCACCCCCTTCATCCTATCCACCAGACAGGAGAGTTATTGTTTAAATAATTACGCACATTTTGAGAGTAATGTGGAGGTCTTGTTAGAGGAAATAGTTCCGCTTCAACGAATCAGGATTGTTCTCTATGATGTCAGTTAGGGCTGGGTCGATGAAAAGTATTTTCCAGTAAGAAATCCAAGAAGTACATATCACCTGTTAGATTTCCAGGAAGAAAAAAAGAACTCACAATAGAATTTCTAAAAATACCAGCCCACGTTCAATTTCTTAGGGTTTGTGTGTGCACCTCGTGAAAAAACCCTGGGGTTATCAGGCCATGCAAACAGTTGTGCCGGTAACTACACCGTTCAACAGGGAAAATTACCTCTACCTAACCCGATCGTTCATCCTGGTGGCAAGTGAAAAAAATGCGTAAACATCTAGAAATAATAAGAAAAAAACAGCAAATTGGTCAGAAGGAATTTATACTTATTATTTACTCTGATAAATGTTTAAATAAACTTTTCAAATTTCAATCCTTCATATTTTCTCAATGGCTCGACCGATTTTTCAAAAAGCAAGCGGGAAAGTATAGAGAATAGAAAGCACTTTTCAATGCAGTTACCATGACCCCCCTTCCCATTTAGAGGGTTCATTTTTGGGGCAAAAATTGTCCCCCTCACAAACAAAATTGACGTGTTTTTGAATTTTCTGAAAAAAAAATTACCCTAGCCGTTATGCCTTGCGGAACGTTTTCGATGGGCCACCCTGTATGTCCTAAATGTTTAGTTTTGGAAATACAGGGTGTAGAAATTTAATTTTTATTTCGATTTTTTCCAAATAATTTCTGAAGTAAAGTCAATATTTGGATGAAAATTGATATCTGGGAGTTTTTTTAACATGAAAAATTTGATTTTGATGTGAATATGACTCCTATTTGTAGGGGGCGCTACCTACATGTATTTTACCTGTTTTGAAGAGTAATAACTTTTCGTTCGTACCTGTATAAAACTACTGAGTGAAAAAATATACATTTCAGTGATTTTTTAAGTCAAAAATATCTCTTGGTAAAAATTGCTACGAGCAACCGTTCTCAAGATATTTAGAATGAAAATAGTCAATACATGTTATTATTGACTAAAAATAAACCATAGTTATTTGAGTGAAATGATAAATTTGGGAACTTTTTATTTTTTTAAATTAATTATAAATTTTTCTTCGAAAAAAATTATGATAAAATAGTTTCTGTTGAACTTTTGGCACAAAAACATTTCAAATTTATGATTTCAGTCTAATAACTATTTAGTCAACGTGTTTAATTTATGTGAATGATGATAGGTATTGATAATTTCGATTCCAAATATCTTGAGAACCCTTACCCGTAGAGATTTTTACCAAGAAATCTTTTTTTCGTAAAACACGTCGTACATGTATATTTTTATACTGACTAGTTTTATACAGGTACGGACAAAAAGTTATTACTGTTCAAACCAGTTAAAAAATATGTAGGTGGCGCCCCGTACAATTAGGAGTCATATTGACATCAAAATCAAATTTCACATGTCAAAAAACTCCCAGACACCAATTTTTATCCAAAGATTGACGTTACTTCAGAAATTATTTAGAAAAAATCGAAATAAATATGAAACTTCTACACCCTGTATCTCCGAAACTAAGCATTTTAGGACATATATTTGTACGAACTTTTTTACTTATTTTTATCTGCAGAATATGCTACCGAAGTTTCCGGAATACAACTCGGACCACCCTGTATATCTTGAAAATTTTAAAATAACCATCGTTTACATTTTTTCATGCAAAACGGACACCATAAAATATTTACGTATTTTAAGATTTAATATATCTTGTTCTAGTGAGCCGATTTTGATGATTTTTTAACCAATTTGTAGCTAAATTATTTGACTTTTTAGTATCTTATTCTAAATTAAAATTGAAACTTTCTATCTGTCAATTATACGAGGGAAAACAAAATGTTGATATTTTGGTGAAAGTTTCAAACACCCTGTGGAATATGTTAACAATGCAAGCAATTTAAAAATCGTTTTATCATCTCGATATATTCGTTTTGCGATGAAATCGCGAGTGAATTAATTTCGGGAGACGATAATGCAATTTTATCGTCGTGTATAAAACAATATTTTTTTCCATAGCGAGTTACGTTTTAAAAAATATTCAGAAATTCTTATTTATATCAAGGAATTTATTACGAGTAGAAAAAATATTGTGCTGGGTTGGCGTTGGTTTCTATGTAATTTGACAAATAAATAAAGCTGTCTCTTTAGTTGTCAGTTTTGAGTCAATATTTTTTAATTCTCTTTCGTGTCGATTGCTGATTGAATTGGAGCCAGAAATGGCTCAAAACGAAATAAGTAAATTACCAACAGATATTCAGGCTGAGGCGAAAAACGCCATATCCAAACTAATTCCATTTAAATCCCGAATAACTTATGAAAAGGAATACACACATTTTCAAAAATGGAAGTAATTAAAAAACGTGCGAGAAGAAATAAAGTTTTTAACCTATCCTCGCTATCCTCATTTAATCTACCCTTGCGGTTAAAGTATTATTTTATCTACTATTTTTAATAGATATAAGACAATTTTAATAGTTGCTATGAAAAAATCGAGAATATCGAGAAAAGATACATTTAGATGATAAAGTGATTTTTAAATTTCTTGTTTTGTAAATGTGTAAATAAATTTAATTTTTCTAAAAGACAAGGGACATACAATTACACTGAACCAAAAGTCGACATAAATATAATGAAAAAGTTCATTAATATAATGAATTAAATCTTTAATTTTGAGCCGATGAACGATTTCATTGGCACAATGAAAAGTAATTCATTAACTCTATGAACTTTAAGTTCATTAAATCAATGAACAGTGTTCATTAATTTGAAGAACACATTCATTGGTACAGTGAACAGATTTCATTAATACAATGAAATAAATGTAAGAATAAGTAATGTAAAGAAGTTTCACTTCAAAATTATAATATGTATTAATGAACCGTTATCATTAATACAATGAAATATTTTCATAACCTATTTAGTTATACATTTAAAAGTCGACACTATTAGTAGGTAACTCTTGTTACACCGTATAATTGATGATGAAGATCGCTGTCATTGATATGAAATGTCATTGATAGTCATTTCCCAGCCAACTACCTGATATAATTCTACTATAAATAGATTTCCATTTGAACAAGCCCTTGGCTACAAAGGTAACAAAATTACTAATGGTGCCGACTTACTTACGAGCACAGTAAATTTTTCCATTAGGGATTATTAATAAAAAACAAGTTGCAATAAACTAATGATAATTTATTAAACTCGATATAGCATATAAAAATTAAAAATTAAAAAAATCGAATCGACGAAGAGAATAGTAATGTTCTCGGTTATTATTAATTTTAGGGTAAATTATAATAAGAAAATTAATTTACTAGTCTATATCCTGAAGGATTTCTATAAAAAGACCATTTCTTCATTATATTAGCTGTACCCTTAGACTTGATAACGTCTAGACGAATTTGCAACAGGCAAAATTTGCAACAGGCACAATGATTTAGTACATTAATATAATGAATATGTGTTTATTAAAGTTTCAGCACTAAAATAAAGAACGCGTTCATTGTCCCAATGACATCATTATATTAATGAAAATCTTACATTAATTTAATAACCAGATTTTCATTATATTGATGAAATTAGATGCATAGTATTAATAAATCGGACATCGATCTATGATTAACAAATCATTATATTAATGAAAAAAATCATTGTCCCAATGAAACAACAGTTAATAATCAATGTTCATTAATATTATGACCAATATTTTTTTCAGTGTATGATAAAAAAATGCATTGACTCTGAAAAACATAATCTCTTGCAAATAACTTTTCGATATAATATTCAAAGTATTTTCAAAAATGGCTTATTAGAAAGGAAGAAAAACTATACACGGTGTACCAGAAATAAGTATAAGTATTCTAACGTCTTTTAATTTTTTTTCAGACCAGCTCAAGTAGTACAAATCGCGATTGCCATAGCAGTATTTTTCTCGTACATGTTAGTGTTCTATGTTCCCGTTGATATAATTTGGAGTAACATAAAAGACAAAATTCCCCAATCAAGGCACAACATCAGTCAGATAATTCTACGTAGCGTATTAATAACTGTTAATGTCGGTAAGTAATATTAAGAACGTACTCCATTTTGTCAAGAAATTATAAAACAAATTTGTGCGCACTATGTTCGCATATTTGAAGCAAAACTTCTTACTAACAGCTATTAAATTGAAGGGCATGTTTGAAAAAATATAGTTTGAAATGTTGAAAAAGTAATAAATTAAAAATTAATAAATAATTTGATACAATTTGACAAAATTTGTATTAAAATATCAAAATATTTTTGAAAAACGCGTGGACTGTTCAAAAATACACGTCGCGTCACTACGTATTTCTAAGCTATATAGGCTGTGTCTCGCTAGCACGTGTGTCACGGCCTTGAAATTTTACTCCCAGCACGCTTCGTTACCATTTTTCGTCTCGCTAGCTTGTGTGTCACAGTCTTGAATTTTAGCTACCAGCGCGCGTAAAGAAGTTTCACTTCAAAATTATAATTAATTAGTTTTAGAATTTGGTTGTTTATTAGGGTGAGCCAAAAAAACTAATCTATGGAATTTATGGGTTAAAATGAACCTATTAACCGAGAAAAAAATATCCCCGAAAGACAGGGTTTTTAGCTCACTTTTAAAAGGTGTCGGTGAACATTCAAAGTTTTCCATTTAAATAACACGTAAAAAAATCTTTTTCCATTAAAAGTACCATAACTTCCAAACGGTTTATGATGAAAATTTTTACATCACGGATTCTTGTACAGCATAAAATTTACTAAAAAATCTTTCTGAGAGTATTTTTTTTCAATTCAATAATTCGTATATTTGAAAGCTTTGAGAAGTGAAAAAAAAAAATAAAAAAAAGTAATAAAAAAATGTTCACCGACACCTTTTTAAATTGAGCTAAAAATGCAGCCTTCCGGGATATTTTTTTCTCAGTTAAGACATAGTTTACATAAAATATTATATCATGTAAATGAATAGGACAATGCACACTCCGTTCCGTGTCCCTTCCGTTCCATATTTTTAAACCGTTTATTAACTAAAATATATACAACTGTTTAAAAAATATACAATTCAATGATATTGTTAATCTTTATCTTCGTGGCAGTTGTTGGTTGGGTTCCTTCTTCATCTGCAGCAGTTTGAAGACTTTTAAGACTCTCCCTGAGCAGGTGGTATCGAAGGCATTGTTCTTTTTTTATAAATTGGTCTATGTCGTCTACGTTTATACGCTCTTTTCAAATATCATGTTTTTAATTTTTTTCTTAAAATTTTTGTAATATAATTGTGTTAATTCTTTTGGTAACATATTATATATAGTGGTAGTTTCTGTTGTTAGTTTTTGTGAAAGTTTTTTTTGAGTTCTCTTGGCTGTTCTGATGTCTGATTTTCTAACTAACAAACAAATACACACTTTTCTAAGTGTGTATTTGTTTGTTAGTTTTTAGAGAAATATTTGTTTTTATGAATTTATTTTTGATTTTGTGTAGAAGTAATATATTATGATATTTTATTAATTGTCTTATGTATAATTCTTTTGTTTTTTGGTATACTTCTTCTGCTGGTGTTAGTTTATCTAGGTTAAATAATATTTTTAGTATCTTATTTTGTTGTCTTTGTAGTATGTTTAAGTTTTTTTCTGTTGTATTACTCCACGTATTAATTAAATATATATTCCTTGATGAAAATAATGCATGATATATTGGTTTCTTCATATTTGGTGGTATTATGTTTTTAAGTTTCAGGAGTGTGGCAATTGTTCTGGCGTTTTCTTTTTTTAAACTATTTATATGTGTGTCCCATTTTAAATTGTTATGGATTTTAATGCCGAGGTAATTGACTTCAGATATTTCTTTTATTTTTTGCTCGTTTAGAATTATATTTAAGTCTTTTGTTTGCTTTTTTGTATTAAATCTTATAAATTCTGTTTTGGATTCATTTATAGTTAGTGAATTGTTGAAGCACCACATTTCAAATTTCTTCAGGTCATTATTTATGTTCACTTGTAAATTGTTGTAATCCTTGTAAGAATACACCATACATAAATCGTCAGCATACGCAAACATTCTACCAAAAAAAAATTGTTCAAATAAATCGTTAGTATATAGAATGTATAGTAATGGTGGCAAGTTGCCGCCTTGTGGTGCGCCATATGGAGCTACACTACTATTGCTTTCTATGTCTCCGGCTTTTGTTTTCTGGGGTCTGTTATTCAAATAACTTTTTACTAAGTTGATGTAATTACCAAATCCATATGAAATGAGTTTCTCCAATAGTTTTTCTTTACTGACAGTACCGAATGCTTTTTTCATATCAAAAAATACTGTAACGACCATATGTTTCTTTTCTATGCATTCTTTTATGTTTTCAATCAAGTCATATACAGCTGAGCTCGTGCCTGAATTTTTCTGGAAAGCATATTGTGCTGCATTTATTATTTTATTTTGTGTTGCGTGTTCTGGCATTCTGTTATGTAAACATTTTTCTAGTATTTTGTTCAATGCTGATAATAAAGTAATTGGTCTGTAATTTTGAGTTTCGTTCTTTTTGCTTTTTTTGTATATAGGGATTATTGTGGATTGTTTTAGGTATTGTGGGTATATTTCTGAATTTAATATGTCATTTGTTAGTTTTAGGAGTATTGGTATTAAAGTTTTCTTGTTATCTTTGAGTATATTATTTGTTATTTTATCAAATCCTGGTGCTTTGTTTCGTTTTAGTTCATTAATAATTTGTTCCATTTCTTCTTCTTTATTTTGTTTAATGTAGCATTTGTCGTAAGTTTCCTTAGTAGTTGTTGTTTTAGGTATTCGTTTGCTTTTTTATATTTGTTTTTCAGCTAATATTTGTCCTACTGTAGTAAAATAGTTATTTAATTCATTTGCTATAATTTTTGGATCAGTACTATTTATTCCATTATTTTTGGTAATTTCTTTAATAGCATTGACATTTTGATTGGGGTGTATTTGCTTATTACTGAATTCCCAAGTTTTTTCTGCTGCCATTTTTATTTTCATTAAATTTTCTTCTGAAATATTGTTTTTTCGTCATTTTTATAAGGACTAATGTATATTGTTTTTGTTCGATATATCTTATTTTTAGAATATTGTATATTGCTTTTGTTCGATATATCTTATTTTATCCTTTCCTTCCATACATTTTTTTGGCGGACGGACTGAAGCGTATCGGAAACAGCGTTGTCAAGTTCTTCCATTTGTACCAGCTCTGTTAAAATTTTGCTGATATTTATTTATTCTTTCACCTCTTAATTAAATCTATTACCTTTTTCAAAAGATACAAATTTTTAAAATAAAACTTTCGTAATGATATAAATCGCACAATAAAAAGTATGGAACTGATACGGAACGGAAGCTTACGCATAGCATCAATGCAATAAAAAAATACGGAACGGATATGGAATGGAAACGGAAGGTATAGTGAAAATCAACCTTTATTAGGTTCATTTTAACCCATAAATTCCATAGGATAGTTTTTTTGGCTCACCCTATTGTTTATAAAATAAAATTAATCTGGATATACATTTTTAGGCATTGCCATAGCAGGAGGTGATCATCTGGGTACCTTGATTGACCTAATAGGCGCCATATTTTTATCAACTTTAGGATTTTTTGTTCCCGCTCTGTTAGATACTATAATATGTTATGAAGAGGGATGGGGTGTACTACACTGGAGATTGATTAAAAATATATTTATTATGGTACTGTCAGTATTTGGTCTTGTATCCGGAAGTTACTATGCAATTTTAGAATTATAAGCTACAAAAAAATTGTAAAATATACTCGAGAGTATAATAATAGACAAAAATATAAATATGTAGAGGAAACGAGGATAATTCGGAATACAGTAGGTAATTTGGAATATTCACTTATTTAAGTTATTGTGGCGCTATCTGGTTAACTTTGATATAAACTACTAGTTCAGCTTGTATTTAGTGGACAACAGATTTTCTAGTTATTTAAATTTACAGTACAACGCAAAAATATGTGAACAATTAATTGTGACATGACAAAAACTTTTTTCCTGGAATTTAGGTCGGCAATCATTGGCCTGATTTTTGATTTAAATTAACTTTGATCATATGGGCACCTTGAAATTTTCATGTATTTTAAAGTTTTATATTTTGTGTTCTAGTGGACCGATTTTGATGATTTCTAAGCAATTTGTTGCTAAATTATTTGGCTTTTTAGTATCTCCTTCTGAATTAAAAATGAAACTTTCTATCTGTCAATTATACGAGGGAAAACAAAATGTTGATATTTTGGTGAATGTTGAAACACCCTGTGGAGTACGTTAACAGAGCATGGAATTTAAAACTCATTTTATCATCTAAATGTATCTTTTCTCGATAGTTAATTTTTTTATTCATCTTTCGTGATTACTCAATGGTCATATTTTAGAAACCACCCTGTATAAATTTATAAAAAAATCTTAAAATATGTAAAACAACAAAATAAAATATACGTGTTTAAGAGTATTTTCCGAAAAACTCACCGGTTTTTAAATAAAAAATATTTTAATATTTGAGGGATAGTTTCACCCCCTTAGAATTAGAGTTTTGAAAAATCCCTTCTTATCGAACCTCTACACCTTAAAGTCAATCTGTTTTCCAAAAATCAGCTTTTTACGTCAAGCGCTTTAAGCAGGATCGTGATTTATCAATGACCAGATTTTTCGAAACACCCTGTATACATTTTTAAAAAATCTTAAAATATGTAAAAAAACAAAATAAAATATACGTGTTTAAGCGTTTATTCGAAAACTTGACCGTTTTTTAAATAAAAAATATTGTAATATTTGAGGGGTGGTTTTACCCTCTTGGAACTGGAATTTCGAAAAATCCCTTCATGTCGAACCTCTACACCCTAGAATCAACCTGTATGCCAAAATTGAGCTTCTTACGTTGAGTGGTTTGAGCAGGATCGTGATTAATCAGTATGTCAGTCACTTAAGGATTTTATATATTAGTATAGATAATCAACATTTACAAATTTTGCAATTTCCAAAATACCCTCACTTCCTCTAAATAAAACTGAGACGCTACCTACTAGAAAGAAATCTATATGTTAGGTAATAAAGCGAAAACTGTGATATTTTCTAAAAGCTTGTTTTATTTTCATAGATTTTAGATATTTCTGTTCCCTACACCTGCCAAGAAATAAAAATAGCGAGTAATTCGGTTTGACGCAATTTAGAAGTGTTATTGCTTAGGTATGAATATTATTCTACTTAATAGTAATTTTACACAAAATCAACATTAAATGTATGACCCTTAAATGTAATATTTCTGACATTGTCATTTTTTGTGATGAGTTAGTATGTGTTAGAGTGTCTCTAACGGTACCTGTGGCGGATTAGTAACTATACATTTTTTATATGTCTAAGGATAGGTGACATTACCATGTACGGTAAGTAGATTTTTTTACATTTATTACTATTGTATTATTTTATAAAAATTTTTATCAAAATAAAAATAGAAATTTTTTGAACATTTTAATTAACATTTCAAACCTAATATTTAAAAAAAAAATGCAAAAATATATGAACAAATGTACAATATAATAGTTTTTCTTTTCTAACATTGTTAAGTTCTGTACAGGGTGGCTCAAATTCGACGCTCATCATTAGGATTTCGGAAACCGTAAGAGATACAGGATCGGTTAAATGGGAGGCAAAGTTGCTTAATTTGATGCTCAATAAAATGTCGTATTGCATTTTGAAAAATTCCGAATACTTCCGAATATATTCGAAAAAAAAAACGGAATTTTCAATTTTGTTTTCTATTGTTTCCTGGCTTTATTTGTTAAGATAACTTAAAATGAAAAACACATTTTCATGGCCACTTTTTCTGCTCTATAACTCTGTGTGATTAAATATTGACTGTGACGTTTCGGCTTCTGACGACCATCATCAACTTATTTTTTTAAATACGGACCTGATTTTTTTTTCAATTTGATTAAATCCTTTCATCACTCTTAAAACACTATATACAGGGTGATACAAATTCGAGGTACGAGCATTGGTATCTCAGTAACCGTAATAGATACGGACATAGTTAAATTCGGGCAAAGTTGCGTATTGGGATGTTCACCAAGACAGCATCAAAAAAGTTTTAAAAATTTCAAGGATTGCTGAGTTTTTTTAGAAAAAACTGATTTTTTTAAAAATCAATTTTTTTTTCCTGCCGTTACTTTTTAGTAAAAAGAAAACTAATTATACATTCTCATAGGGCTATCTGATAATATTTTTAGATTTTCAAATTAGTTGATAATTTGTGAGATACAGAGACCAACTTATTTTTTTTAAATAAGGACCTGCATTTTTTATTCCAGGTTTTGAAAGAACTCGGTCTCCTGAATACAATGATATGCCACACTTTATACTTTTTCTTGTTTTGGATACCTTAACAGCAACAAAACTATTTAATTATTATTTAAAATAATTTCAAGGTTTCTTAAATTATTTAATCTGATTACATTCATCGCAATTATTCAATATTGAATAAGGAAAATCGAGCCAATTGGAAGATTCAAATGAATAATATCCAGGTCAGAAATTTAAAGATATTATTTTTAACTTTTTTTACTGTGAATTTGAAATCTCAATGTGCGATGTAATAATATGCATAATATTAATCGTAGTTATTATAAATAAATCAACTTCTACAAACTAGTTTCTAATGTTCTACAGTTCTACATGTTCGAAAGGGTTAGCACTCTCCCTATTGCACGAATTTATTTTTCGCTCAATTTTATTTATAGCTCTTTGAACTTTCTTCTTATACTTTCGATTGAATTTTGTACTCTTTATTGTAAATGTTGAGATGAATTGATTTTACTTTTACAAATGAGATCAAATAATGTAGCCCCTTGGCGATAGGTCCAGGGACTTCGCTAGACACTATACTGCTCTACCATTTCCAATCCATCTTCCGGGAAAATTATTTGATTGTTTATATTATATTATATCTATATTAATTATTTTATGTTATTTTATTGCATTTGATTTTCCGTATTCAATATTTTACACCACGTCATTGTTAAGTTTGGAAGCTTATCAATATTGTAACGATGAATAGATTAAATATTTAAAAAAAAAGAGCCGGACTTGAAATTAGTTTAAATAAATTGTGTTCAAATGTTTAAACAAAAAAAAATATTAAGTGTGGCATATCGTTGTACTCAGGAGACTGAGTTCTTTCAAATCTGAAATAAAAAATGCAGGTCCGTATTTAGAAAAAATAAGTTCGCCTCTGTATCTCAAAATTTTTAAGCTAGTTTGAAAATCTAAAAATACTATTAGATAGCCCTAACAAAGTGGCTATGAGAATGTTCAATTAGTTTTTTGATTTTCTAAAAAGTAACAACAGGAAAAATAAAATTGATTTTCAAAAAAATCATTTTTTTTCCAAAAAGCTCAGCAATCCTTGAAAAATTTGAAACTTTTTTGATGGCATCTTGGTGAACATCTCATAGCGCAACTTTGCCCCAATTTAACCATGTTCGTATCTATTACGGTTACCGAGATACCAATGCTCGTACCGTAAAATGGGGTGAATAGAAACATAGTGGTGAATAGAAACAAAATTTCTGAAAAAAATCAAATCACGATTAAAAATATTCAAAGTAAAAAGAGTCGACATATCTAATTTTTCTATCATTGGTAATACACAATAAAATGTAAAAACTATATTTTTATCTGTGGCAGCACTGTTTCTGTCAATCAGCTGATCAATAAATGTGAGAACGATTTATCACCTATTTTGTATGGCGCGAAAACTTTATAAATAAAATATTTATTTTTAAAGTAATACATAAGCTGGTACATGTAAGTTGTCATATTATATGTATTGTTATTTATTGTTAAACCTATTTAAATATGTAATAATTTACTGTTTCTAATCACCTTGTTGGAAGTAGAATAGATAAAAACCTAAACATCAATGTGTGTTTCTATTCTCCCCAATAGCAGGTGAATAGAAACACAAACGTTATTTTTATTTAATATTTATATGCATATTTTTCAAAAATCAAATTATATGTATACGCAAAGAACAAACAAAGACCCATGTTTTAAAATATTCGGGAAAATAATACCACATTTTTATCAACCGGTATATCGCTAATAGCCCACGAAACTGTTTCTATTCACCCCATTTTACGGTACCTCGAATTTATAGCACCCTGTATAGTCACTTTGATATTTGCCGACGTTTCGTACAGAAAATTCCATCACCAGAATATTTTATGCAAAAAAAAATAATAAATAGAAATGCAATACGGCATTTTATTGAGCATCAAATTGCGCAACTTTGCCTCCATTTAACCGATCCTGTATCTGTTACGGTTTCCGAAATCCCAATGATGAGCGTCGAATTCGAGCCACCCTGTACACAGTGTCCGGCAATAATGCGTCGAGCATCTGTAGTAGCTCCTATAATAAAAAAAAACTTAGGAATCTAATGGTATGAATATATTTATTAACCAGTAATAAACACAATATAAATTTACTAAATTCATAGAAGACAGTTATATATTTTTTTTATTTTTAGCCCTATTTTCATGATTTTTTTCCCAAACTGTATATAAATCTATTAACTTTAATTCATAAACTCAGTTTTGTATAAACTTTAGTATTTGGCTTATTATACAGGATTAATTGAAGGGTTGTTTTTACCTTAATTTTAAAACATCCTGTGTACAAACAAACATTGTTTTTTTGATCAGAATCATGTGTCCTGAGCATATTGTTTTTTACTCTGTCAACACATGCATTGGTTAATTTTTAAGAGCGAAATGAACTTGCCACCAACAATTTGCAATTTTTTCAACTATCATTAATCTATGATATAATTTTTTAACATTACGACGTGGATTTGATGACTATTGTGTATTGTAATACCATATCGACACTGCATTAGAACTTTATATTAAAATTTAAGAAACCTTAAAAAGTAACGATACAGGCTTGGTTTTAATAAATACACACTAACAAAAGATACTAACAGAAACAAGGATATTAAAAAAATATTCCTATAATAACTAAGTATACAAACAAACAAAAAACTTGTAAAAAATACTCTAATACTTTGTATTGCCTCCCCGGCTGCTATAACTGTCTGTAGACGTCAGTTCATACTGCCAATGAGGCTGCAAATACACACACGGAAAAATCTAAGGATATCATTTTATTAAAGTTAAAAATAAATGTTTTGAATAAACAACCACATATTTGTAGGTCAATTCTTTCTACTTCGATTAAAACGAAGTAGTCACACTAGTTATTTCTAAATTTGGGATATTTGCAGAAGTGTTTGTGCATTTTTTGTCAAATGTATAAAAAGCACCTAGCATCAATTCTTCGAATTTAACCTGTACCGGCTATGTTTTTATGATAACTGGCCAGAATTCATTCAAATAACTCTGTTTAGTATTAAACGACATTATGGAGCGTAGATATCTTAACAGAGACAAAATGCTAAAGGCCATGGGTATACTTGAAGCTGGAATGCGCCAAATCGACGTAGCTAGAGCATTAAATACAACGCAAAGTGTAATATCGCGATTAAGTGCACCCTACCGTGAAAGTGGTAATGTTGCTGAAAGGCACACAAGGCGACATAGCATTACTACCCCTCAGCAAGATCATTTTTTACAATTAAATGTTCGACGCCGACCGACTCTTACAGCACCAAAGCTTAGTTTAATTCTCCAGGAAACACATAATGTAACCGTTAGTCCTGACACTGTTCGCAATAGATTAAGGGAGGTCAACTTAAGAAGCAGACGTCCCTGGAGAGCTTAACCCTTAACGAGAGGAAATCGAGAGGTATGATATTTGTGGGCTCAAGATCATGTTCAATGGTCGAATGAACAATGGGCCAATGTTCTCTTCACGGATGAGTCACGCTTTGGAATTCATCCGGATTCGAGAAGGGTTAGGGTATGGAGAGAACCGGGAAATGTTATTCGGTTGGACCATGTTCAGGAATTGCACCCTTATCAAGGTGGAACGGTTATGGTCTGGGGAGGAGTCCATCTCGTTTTTCTTGAAAGGTTTCTAACAGGAATCACATATCGTGATTTAATTCTTGAGCCTGTCGTTTTACCATATGCCAATGATTTTGGGAGAAACTTCATTCTCATGCATGACAATGCACGGCCTCATACAGCCAGAGTGGAAAGTGAGTTTATTAATGCTCATCAATTAAACATCTTACTCTGGCCGGCACAATCTCCTGACCTCAACCCCATCGAGCACGTATGGGACGCGGTCCAAAGAAGAATTTTGAGAATGGGTATGCCTCGTGAAACTCGTAGGGTTCTGGTTTGGGCCGTGAATGCAGCGTGGCAGGCTGTACCTCAGGAAGAGATCGACAACCTGATCAGGAGCATGGAGAGACGATGTAGGGCTGTAATGAACAGTAGAGGAGGCCATAGCCTTTATTAAGTAAAAATGGTTTTATCTTTTTTTTTAATTCGCAGTTTAGAATAAAAAAAATGTGTGTATTTTTTTGAGTTCAATAAAAATCAAGGTAAATTCGAAAAATTCGGCAAATTTCGCATTTTTATTTCCAATACGTCCTGTAAACTATTTGTTTATTTTAATTTTATTATATCAGAAATGCAAATAATAAAATTACTGACGATGGTTGGATAAAATTGTAATATCCCTAGACTTTTCCGGTGTGTGTATATCGTGTTAAGTTTTCCCATTCTTCTTCAAGGACCAATAATATTCATAATTTCCGTAATTTTCAGCAAGATCAATGACTTTTGTACAATCTTCAACACTAAGAACCACATTCAATCGTATTACCAAAGAATGTATTACACAATAATAGTCACCAAAGCCACCTCGTCATTATGAAGAATAACATCAAAAACTAACGATAATTGAAAAAAAAATCAAAATGTTTGTGGCAAGTTCATTTCGCTCTTAAAAATTATCCAAGGCATGAGTCAAAAATCAAAATATTTCGGAGACATGGTTCTGACCGAAAAATAATGTTTTAGGAAAATTGGCTCACGAAATTATTGCACAGGGTGTTTTAAAATTAGGGTAAAAAACAACTCTTCAATTAACACTGTATAATAAATCAAATACTAAAGTTTATACTAACCTGAGTTTACGAATTAAAGTTGATATATTAATATACAGTTTGCTAAAAAAATCAGAGAAATAGGAGTAAAAACTAAAAAAATATATCACTTTAAACATGACAAAAATTTTTGCGTTGCGTTTTTTTGCATCTGAGTGTAATTAGTATGGCAAAGATACGTATTTCACCGTATATTTTGTTTAATACATCTTAACAAGAAAGCTGCCAAAAATTTTCTCTTTATGACTGTGACAAAAATTATTTGTACTCATTAGCGTAACTAGCAATTTATCCTGGGGCGGGCCTGGGGGGGCCTGGTGTTTGAGCCCAGGGGGAGCCTAGGGCTTTTGTTATTTAAAAATTAAAAATAATTTTAAAACACATTTTTTGAATAAAACGTTTACATGAATTTCTCTATCAATAAATTTTATAGACTTGGTTATCAAACCGTGTTCCCGTAGATTACTTAAATACTTACAAATTTTGTAAAAAAAAATAAAAATTAATACATTTTTTGAACACAACAAAATACGAGTAATATTAACTAAACAAAACTAGAAAACGTCATTTTTACTGCATTTACAAGCAAATAAAAATTAATACGTAGACAAGAGTCATAATTTAGGATTTTTCTGGGGGGTGCCCAGCAGTACCTGGGGGGGGGTACCCCCGGTCACTCCTTTAGTTACGCCAATGTTTGTACTAGTATCTCATTTGTATGAACATTTTAAAGTAAAATAAAAATGTTAAAATATTTATTAGTTTTTTTGAATAACTTGCATATATTGCACACACGTGCATACTTTGTGGTATTATATTATTAACATTACAGTAATAATTAAAATATCTTTACATCTTTATAACATGGTAATAAATAATATCAACCATTGAAATTTCCTTCGCAGAGCCTTATAGTTCCCAACATACGATAAGAAAAACAAACTGATTTTATCTTAAAAAACGACAATCAAAAGTTAACACAGAGTTGTATTGTCACTGTTATAGAATAAAAATTCCGCTATATTTTATTATTTTAAATTTTAGGTATTGAATTTGAGTAGAAGAAATAAAAAAAATTGAAATAACTTGCATTTAATGTAAACTGTGTAATAGGTACTGTGCCGTACGTGAACTTCATAAAAAATATGGAACAGAAAGAGACTTATGTTCCTAATACCGATATTTTTACCTCAAAGTAAGTACACTACTCAAAGTAATTATCGCATATTTGAAAAAAGTAATTATTATATTGTTCTAAATGTGAATCATGCATTTTTCGGCCTTCCTATTGCGATTATTTTTTTGGGTTAATTATACAGGGTGTTTCGAAAAACATGTGCCATCTCTCGTGGGGAGACTCCTCACGTAAAAATATGATTTAATTTTCATATCAACATAGGCCCGATTCTACTTTGTTTCGTAGCTACAGGGTGTTAAAGTCTTAATATTTTTTTCAATTTATTATAATTTTCTTCCAAGTACTTTGAGCGGTTCGAATGAAATTTTAAGGGTAAAAGTTACTATAAAAACTACAGGGTGTTAAAGTCTTAATATTTTTTTCGATTTATTATAATTTTTTTCCAACTACTTTGAGCGGTTCGAATGAAATTTTAAGGGTGAAAGTTACTATAAATGCGACATATTTTAAGGCAAAAAAAGTGTCGCCATATTCACCAAGGACGTGCATATGGGTTATCACTGAAATATTTTTCTAAAAAAAGCATGTACGCCAGTGATTTCTTTTTCTTTTGTTAGCGAAATAGAGTACTTACTCTCTCACTAAACAACTTTGTTTAGTGTCGATTAAAAGTTGTCTCTTGATATTTTGTCGATTTCGGTCTCCTTGATGAGATAAACGCAATTTTATTAATTTGCCTTGATCCAAGTCTAATAGCAACCTTTAAAAAATGTATTATCATTAACTCGGGAAAGTTTTAAATAAGTACTATTTGATTCCTCATCAAAAAATATGAAAAAAAGTTCCTATAAACATGGGTATGGAAATGCATAGTTTTAGAGTTACAGGATGTTAAAACTTTTTAAAATTAGGTTTTTTGTAATTATCTTAAATACCATTAATTAAAATAAAATATATAACATCCTAACCAACTGTATATATTAATAAAGTCGTGTTCAAATATTAATTTTGTGAAATATACCAGGTGCGTCTCAAAAGTGGCTCATTCCTGTAATTCGATAGAATATGACACTCTGAATAGAATGATATTTCATAATATGACAACTTTTTAATAGTTTCGCATATCGTCAGTGAAACGTGATAACCTGCTAAGTTCATTTTTGATTTTAGTTATTATTAATAATAATTAATATAATACTTTTAATAATAAGTAAATAATACGTTTAAAATACATGATTTTTCCTAAAATTTTTAACGAAATATTAAATTTTATTTTTCCCCAACAAAGATTATTGTTATCTCTATATCATATTAACGCATGAATATATTTGATACATGTGTACAGGGTGGACTATTTTGGTTGTTTCTATAGGGTATCTAGGAAATCGTAAGAGATATTCAAATTTTGATACTGCAGTCTCGGGTTCTTTTTTTGAAAAAAATACAATGGCGCAAAAGGATCGTGGCTATCTTGATCGGTTTCGAAACTTCAGGGGGATTCTCAAATTTTGTACTTTTTGAAGATGTTCGATAGTTTGTTTATTTCAGTAACCACAGAAAAATGAACTATACATTCTAAAGGCACTTTTCTGTGTAGAATGCAGTGGCGTAGTCAGACTTTTTTCGAAAAAAATATGTTTTTAGATATATTAACTATATTTATGTTTTTGTAAATAGAACCCCCTGTATATTTTAAAATTTTCTTATTCAGCTTGGCATGGGCTTCTCGAAAATATATAACACTATATATTTGTTTTCAGTATTAACCTCAACATTTCAAATGATTCTTAAAATATCCACTTAGTAGATAGTAGGCCGCGCCCAAGAACAGTTAACCTAATAGGACTGCTCATTCAGCCAAAAGTGTCCGCCAGGTGCATGCGAAAACTACTCGCTTTGTGACGTCATTGTAGCCCTTGTCATTGTTATTAGTCCTTATCCGGCAACCAATAATACACACACGTGCATTATTGGTTACCGAATGCAAAACGTTCATTATTTAGTTTATTTATTTAAACACCTTATATGTATGCAGTATAGAAAATTAACTGTATAAATCGTATTAAATACTCGGATAATGCATTTTTAAGAACAGCAGTTCCCAGCATCACCTTTTGCAAGCATTCTTTTTAGAGTACTTCCATATTTTGCTTTAAAATAATTAATAAACAAAATCGTGGGTACTTAGTATGCACTTTGTCACAATCCACAACACAAAATGAACGTATTTATACACTCTATAGCTCTAAAAACTTTAAAGACACCTTTTTCACATTTAAAATTGACAAAATAATTAACTCAAAATTTCTCAGCTGTTATTTTTATAAGTTTACCATAGGCAACTAATAATACACACTATCATAACAAGGCCACGAAGGCTTTGACAAGGGCTACAATGACGTCACAACTGTCAGCTGAAGCGCGGGAAGAGGCGAACGTACGTCTTATGAGGATGAGCAATCCTATTAGTTTACCGTTCTTGGGCCGCGCCGAGTAACAAAGTAAACTGTTGTCATGGTGATCGGAACATACCTTTGATGGATGCGGGACATTTCATTTCAACAGATTGAAGTGTGTGTATTTTAAATAATAAAAAATGAGTAAATTTTGAGAAAAATAGAAAAACATTAGACAATCAAGTCTAATGTTTTTCGTCTCTTATCCTGGCCGTTTAAAAGATGACCAAATCGTATTTTTAATGCATATCTCAATTTTTAGCCGACCATACCAACAGGTATGGTAGGCTACTAAGATTGGCAAAAAAAAAGTTTTTTTAATTTCACTCAAAATGAGCTAAATACAAAAAAAATCATAAATAACCTAAATACAAAATATTTTCATGGTGTCTGTCTGTCTGTCCGTCTGTCTGTAACACGATAACTCAAAAACCGCGAAACCGATTTTAACAAAATTTGGCACAAAAATACTGTGGCACCCGAGAATCTGGCTATTAGTTTTTGGTGGAGCTGGGGGTTCGTAAGGGGGTATGGGAGGGGGTTAAAAATTTTAAAAAATTGAAAATTCGAAAAAAGAAATTTAAAACTCCAAAATTACAGTAGCCTTTATATATTTTTCGAAGGCTCCTTGTTTATAAATTAGTGTTTTTAACACAGCCGTGGCACTCTAGATTGAAATTTAAAATACGATTTTTTTAAAGCGAAAATGTCAAAAGTTGGCATATGATATGTCATTCTATTCAGAGTGACATTTGCTATCGAATAAAGTAAAAAATACCGAGGGTGCCATTTAAAAATCGATAGTTATAGTCATTTCCGGTAAAATAGAGTGTGACGAAAATCAATTGAATACGTCAATCAATCCTAATTTATTTTTTTTAGTTTAGTTATTTGAAAAAATAAAAAAGTTATCGGGGTGAGCCACTTTCGAGATGCACCCGGTATATATCAACATAAATGATATTCCCTTTACAGTATCCAAACTATTTAACAATGTATTCCCCTCTCAAAATTCCTTTCATGGGAAAATATACCGGGTCTGTATGCGTTAATTTTTTGGAGAAGTGTATTTTTTTTAAAATGCGATAATTGTTTTGCGTAGTTTAATTATGTTGGGTAGATTAGACACTTTTTAAAAAGTGAAACATTTATTACAAGGAATTTCAGGACCATTTTAGTCGATGACAAAAACATAAAGTTGCAAACAACAGATCCGGAGTATATTATTGAAAAGACTTATGATCCTTATAAAAACAGGGACTTAGATCATCCAAACAGGTATAGTATAAAAGTAATAGACAACGTACAAGAGTAAAATTATTTTGAATTAGTTTTCTAGGAGCCTTTTTGCATCTAGTAAAAGGTTCTCTAGGAACAGGCATATTGGCTGTACCCAGAGCATTTAAATCCGCTGGCCTCTTAGTAGGAACTATAGGTGCCATTTTAATAGGAATATTATGCACGCATGCCATACATTTACTAGTGAGTTCAGTTTAAGAGTCTATTACGCTGTACTTCTCGGGTCGCTCTCAGGGCTCGGGTAAAGCGGGTGTATGGCCAAAGGAAATATATATTATATTTCAGAAATCTGCCTAAGGCTTAGCCCGATCGTGTCGTGTTAAGCCACACCCAAAATTCCAAACACATGTGCTTTGATTAAGGCTTGATTAAGGCTTGATTAAGGTTTGCAGAGGTTCAGCATTTGCCATAAAATAGCGAGCAATTTGTTACAAACCCATATTAGTTCAGTCATTGGGGATCAAGAAAGGGGCCTGTTTGGAAAAAAGTCCGGAAGTTTTGAAACTTTGCATAGGTTTTGGGGTCCCTAACTAAAATCCATAAAATGCACATTTCCAGACTTGCCGCCGGCGCCGCCATGCCAAGATGGCGCCGAAAATCGGTATTTTGTGAATATCTCGAAAACTATGCGTTTTTCGCGAAAATTTGAGGAGAGCAAAATTAAAGAGAATAAAATTTCCTATAAAAAAGATTTTAATGAAAATTTTCGCTAGTCAGCCGTTTAGGCACAAAATTCCTGGAAATTTTACAATTTTGCGTAAAATATAACATATTATGTATAGTCGATTTTCCGGGTTCACTAAAACTAGTTTTAGTTTAATTTCTTCAATTTTGTCATGAAACAGTGGCGTATCATTAATTCGCTCATTAATTTATAAATAATTAATTGTCGTGCTGGACAGCATTCATTGCGAACTTACAACCAGGTTCAGCATTGGTCTGGTTGTACCAAAGATGCCGAAGAATGGGGTTGGAAGAAAACAAAAACAGGCATTACTCCAGTCACAACGTTGAAAGATCCACCTCCAAAATCCCTATTGGCATTTTTATCCTGTAAATGCAAAACCAACAACTATGGTAAAACCTGCGGATGCAGAAAAGCAGGTATAAAATGTTCAATGATTTGTGCATATTGCAATGGGAAATCCTGTGACAACGTCACTGAAGTGTCACTCGACGAATCCGATGAAGAGGAGTTGGACTTGCCTGTAGATATCCCTCTGGCGGCTGAAGATGAAGAGTTGGATGTATTGAGAGACCACCCTGATGAGCCCAGCACAGCAGACACGATCGACTTTGACATCAATGAGCCAGATCCGTCGGGCTCGTGCAGATAAGTTAAAGTTTTTAATTTACCTAATGGAGTAGGCCTCCGTGGAGACCTCGTTAAAATAAACGCGTCATGTACTTTACCTCTTTGGTGGTGTGGAAACACCACCCGTGAATTATTCATAAATTAATGAGCGAATTAATGATACGCCACTGTTTCATGACAAAATTGAAGAAACTAAACTAAAACTAGTTTTAGTGAACCCTAATCGACATTTGACTTCGGAAAATCGACATAAAAATACACATAATATATCATATTTTACGCAAAATTGTAAAATTTCCAGGGATTTTGTGCCTAAAGGGTTGACTTTAACGAAAATTTTCATAAAACATTTTTCATAGAAAATTTTATTTTTCTAATTTTGCTCTCTTCAAATTTTCGCGAAAAACGCATAGTTTTCGAGATATTCACAAAATACCGATTTTGGGCGCCATCTTGGCAAGATGGCGGCGTCGGCGGCAAGTCTGGAAATGTGCATTTTATGGATTTTAGTTAGGGACCCCAAAACCTATAAACCTGCAAAGTTGCAAAACTTCCGGACTTTTTTCCAAGCAAAAATCCCCAATGACTGAACTATATAAATTACATCACTGTAACACAAAACTTCAATCTATTTCCGTATAGTAGCGGAATTTTAAATTATGTCTTTATTTTCGAGAAAATTTAGTCCAAACATAAGGAATATTTTGTTGATATTTGACCATCAAAGTCTTAAAGATAACGAAACGTCGGTCAAGTTTGCCCCCCGTATTAGAGGAAATCCAAAAATAAATATACCACTACTTTGCACACATTTTGCACAATTTTGCACACCATAAATGATATTTTGCACACTTACCTAAGAGAAACCAGGGCCGTTTTTTAAACGGGGGGCAAACTTGACCGTTCCCCCCCATTTGTTACGAAATTGATTTATTTTTATGTACATCGATTCGGCTAATTTTGCACAATTTTGCACACCTGTTTTTGAATTTTGCACACCATCCTGATTAAATGAATGAAGGTTTAAAGATTTGCAATTTCCCCCTATCTGTCACGAAATTGAATTTTGTGTATATCAAACGAATCGGCTAATTTTGCACAATTTTGCACAACTATTTTCGAATTTTGCACACTCTCCTGACAAAAGTTATAAGAGTTTGAATATTTGAAATTTGTCCCATTGTGTGAAATGTCCCATTTAAAAATACAAGTAAAGTAAAAGTATGAGTCATATTTTGAAAATGATAGATCTCAGCGACGGCGACGTGAAAAACTGGAACACAGAACACGGAACTTAGATTTCACCTTTTCGATAATTTATAGCTTGCATAGAAGAACATTTATGAAACTAAAGATTCTACACACAGATTTGTCTCAGCCCTCTTACTTCCTGAAATACCGGTCAAATTTGAAAATTTTGCATTTTTCGATAACCCTCATATCTCGGTTATCCTATAACTTATCGAAAAGGTGAAGTCTGGGTTCCGTACAGTTTTCCACGTCGTCACTGAGATCTATCATTTTCAAATATGACTCATACTTATGTTTTTTAAATGGGACAATTTACACACAATGGGACAAATTTCAAATATTCAAACCCTTATAACTTTTGTCAGGAGAGTGTGCAAAATTCGAAAGTTAGTGTGCAAAATTGTGCAAAATTAGCCGATTCGTTTGATATAAACAAAAGTCAATTTCGTAGCAGACGGGGGGGAAATTGCAAATTTTCAAAACCTCATAACTTTCGTCGAAGGAAGTAACTTTCGAGGAAGGTGGCCAAAATTCTAAAATAGGTGTGCATAATTGTGCAAAATTAGCCGATTCGTTTGATATAAACGAAATTCAATTTCGTAGCAGTTGGGGGGGGTTGCAAATTTTCAAACCCGCATAACTTTAGTCAGGAGAATGTGCAAAATTTAAAAACAGGTGTGCAAAATTGTGCAAAATTAGCCGATTCGTTTGATATAAACACAATTCAATTTTGTGGCAGATGGGGGGGGGGGGAAATTTCAAATATTCAAACCCTTATAACTCTTGTCAGGAAGGTGTGCAAAATTCTAAAATAGGTGTGCAAAATTGTGCAAAATTAGCCCATTCGTTTGACATAAACGAAATTCAATTTAGTCGCAGATGGGGGGGAAATTTCAAATTTTCAACCCCTTATAACTTTCGTCAGGAGGGTGTGCAAAATTTAAAAATAGGTGTGCAAAATTGTGCAAAATTAGCTGAATCCATGTACATAGAAATAAATCAATTTCGTAACAAATGGTTGGGGGAAAGCCCGGCCTCAAGGCCAAGTCCGAAGGCCGTGTATGGGCAGCTATTTAACAATAGCTGACTTGTGAGTTTGGCGGGGCTTTCATGACTGTAAATGACAGACAGCGGAAATTAAGTACAAAAAAAATCACTGCCCCCTGGACTAAAATGATAGAGAAAAGTTTAACAGGTTGACGACCTCTTTCTTCTCTCTGAATAAAATGTGGAATTTTATCTATGACATAAATAAAAATATTTTTGTTTTTAGAAACAAATTATAAGAGACATAACTATTTGTATTTCTTGAAAAAGTACATTTCTTGAAAAGTTTTGATTATCCCACTCTCTATTTTCCGATATACTTATACAGGGTGAGTCTAAAATAAGTGATAATATTTTCAGGGCTGGTAGATCTCGATAAAACAAACATATATTTTCTTTTTATAGTTTTTCAATTAGGTCCAAAATAACCGAGTTATTCAAATTTGACAATTAAAAAAAAAGATTAAAAAAAATTGAGAGCCCTTTTTAGTGCCGTAACCATAAAGTAAAGTTGTAATTGTAGTAATCAGAGATTAAGACATTATACCGGCAGTTCCAAAAAGTTTTCTAAAATATACAGGAAAATTTAAAAGAAATGCAGAATTTACGTATTTCTGAGGTCGAAATATACCATCCTTAAAATATTTGCATTTATTAAAGACCCACCCTGTATAATTATCTAATTTAAAAACAAGTATGTCATAAATATATTACACTTTTAAAATAATTAGTAGTATAAGTAAAAAATGAAAACACAATTCAATTTTGTGACAGATGGGGAATTTCAAATATTCAAACCCTTATAACTTTCGTCAGGAGGGTGTGCAACATTCGAAAATAGGCGTGCAAAATTGTGCAAAATTAGCCCATTCGTTTGACATAAACGAAATTCAATTTAGTCGCAGATGGGGGAAATTTCAAATTTTCAACCCCTTATAACTTTCGTCAGGAGGGTGTGCAAAATTTAAAAATAGGTGTGCAAAATTGTGCAAAATTAGCTGAATCCATGTACATAGAAATAAATCAATTTCGTAACAAATGGTTGGGGGAAAGCCCGGCCTCAAGGCCAAGTCCGAAGGCCGTGTATGGGCAGCTATTTAACAATAGCTGACTTGTGAGTTTGGCGGGGCTTTCATGACTGTAAATGACAGACAGCGGAAATTAAGTACAAAAAAAATCACTGCCCCCTGGACTAAAATGATAGAGAAAAGTTTAACAGGTTGACGACCTCTTTCTTCTCTCTGAATAAAATGTGGAATTTTATCTATGACATAAATAAAAAATATTTTGTTTTTAGAAACAAATTATAAGAGACATAACTATTTGTATTTCTTGAAAAAGTACATTTCTTGAAAAGTTTTGATTATCCCACTCTCTATTTTCCGATATACTTATACAGGGTGAGTCTAAAATAAGTGATAATATTTTCAGGGCTGGTAGATCTCGATAAAACAAACATATATTTTCTTTTTATAGTTTTTCAATTAGGTCCAAAATAACCGAGTTATTCAAATTTGACAATTAAAAAAAAAGATTAAAAAAAATTGAGAGCCCTTTTTAGTGCAGTAACCATAAAGTAAAGTTGTAATTGTAGTAATCAGAGATTAAGACATTATACCGGCAGTTCCAAAAAATTTTCTAAAATATACAGGAAAATTTAAAAGAAATGCAGAATTTACGTATTTCTGGGGTCGAAATATACCATCCTTAAAATATTTGCATTTATTAAAGACCCACCCTGTATAATTATCTAATTTAAAAACAAGTATGTCATAAATATATTACACTTTTAAAATAATTAGTAGTATAAGTAAAAAATGAAAACACAATTCAATTTTGTGGCAGATGGGGGGGGGGAATTTCAAATATTCAAACCCTTATAACTTTTGTCAGGAAGGTGTGCAAAATTCTAAAATAGGTGTGCAAAATTGTGCAAAATTAGCCCATTCGTTTGACATAAACGAAATTCAATTTAGTCGCAGATGGGGGGGAAATTTCAAATTTTCAACCCCTTATAACTTTCGTCAGGAGGGTGTGCAAAATTTAAAAATAGGTGTGCAAAATTGTGCAAAATTAGCTGAATCCATGTACATAGAAATAAATCAATTTCGTAACAAATGGTTGGGGGAACGGTCAAGTTTGCCCCCCCGTTTAAAAAACGGCTCTAGTTTCTCTTAGGTAAGTGTGCAAAATATCATTTATGGTGTGTAAAATTGTGCAAAATGTGTGCAAAATAGTGGTATATCTCTTTTTGAATTTCCTCTAGTACGGGGGGCAAACTTGACCGACCTGTTAAAGAAGTTGTTTAAAAATGTGCTACAATACGGATATAGTATTATCCTTTATCTTTAATTTCCTTCTTCATTTTGTAAAAATAACTAGCCAGTTTTACATAAAACGTTAAATGCCGAATGCCTATTTTGCTACTTTTTTGAACTAGTGAAATGGACTCTTAAAATAAAACTTTAATAAAATATATAATATACAGGGTGGCGCCTCTCATACCCCGCGGAGGCTCCAAGGAGAACGAGAGTTTGTATTGAAATGAAATTTTGTGAGCATATGTAGGTTAATTTAGAGCACTTTTTAAAAATATAAAGAGTTCTACAAGGTGTCCCCAAAAAAAGTTATATATCAAAGATGTGTTTTTTGTAATGGAACACCCTATATATTAATTGATTTTCGGATTCTGGGAGAAAAATGAAGGTAAGTTTTATAAGAGAAGTGTATGACTAAAATGTAAGGTTTTTGACATATTTAACATTTTCGAGAAATAAAGAACAATTTTTTAAATTACAATAAAAGCTACCTAAATTGGAATTTACCCGGTATAGATCTACTGACGCAAAATGAGTAAAATTAAAATATCTAGGAAAATCTTTGTCTGAGGGGTACGCAACCTTAATAATATTTTGAAGATATATAAATTCCCCATTGAACACTGGAAAATATACTGGGCGTTCCATAAAAAAGGCGTTAAAATAAAGGAGTAACTTGCTTTTAAAAGTGACTAATGTTCCATATTAATTTTGTGTCACCCTGTATAACTTTTCGGGTCAAATTTCAATTTGGTCTAACATATAATGGTTACTGTAATTAAATATCAGGCTATACAAGGTTAACTAAAATTTAGGTAGCTGTTATCGAAATTTAAAATTTATTCTTCAATTTCACAAAGTGTGAAATATGTCAAAATTCTTAGATTTTGGGTATATGCTTCTTTAATAGAACTCACCTTTATTTTTTTCCTAGAATCCGAAAATCAATTAATATATAGGGTGTTCCATTAGAAAAAACACAACTTTGATGTGTAACTTTTTTGAGACACCCTGTATAATTCTATATATTTTTAAAAAAATGCTTTCAGTTAACCTACATATGCTGCCAAAATTTCATTTCGACATAAACTACCGTTCTCCTTGGAGCTTCCGCGGCGTATGAGAGGCGCCACCCTGTATATACAGGGTGTCCCAGAAATAATTGCAAGTATTTTAAGGGGTGGTAGATCTCGATAAAAAAAACATATTTTCTCTTTATCGTTTTTCAAATAAGTCGAAAATAAATTTCCAAAAAAAATAATTTTTTGCTAATATTTTGAGAACCACTGGATCTTTTCTGGGTTTTCTTTCTTGTAAATTTAATCTAATACCTATGTTGCCATATTATGAAGAAATTATGTTTTTTAACTCAAAACTAAAAAATTTCCAAAAAATTTCGAATTTTCATAACTTTTTTTTCGTGAAAAGAACCTCATAGGCGTGTTTCTAGGGTTGAACTATACTACCAGTTAAAATACTTGCACTTATTTCTGGGACACTCTGTATATAAAATATGGATTAATTTTTAGGTGAAAGCCTCCCACAAAGTTTGTATAAAAAATAAGCTGCCTAGTTTAGGTTATTCGGATACTGCCAAGGAGGTCTTCCTACACGGACCTAAATCTATACAAAAATATGCTCCCTTTGCCAAGTAAACTTCAAAAAAATACTTTATTAATAACATTTTATAAATAACGTCACGTTTTAGAGGATTTGTGGAAATTGCACTTATGTCAACGTACTACTTAAGTAATGCTGTTTATATTGTTTTCATATCAGTATCACTTACGAAAGTAGGTATACAAATATTATTTTATAGATATAAAAATAGTCCAGGGGACAGTGAAGATATTCGGAACTTATTTTCTCAGTGAGCAAGCAGTTAAGAAAAAAAATAGTCTAGCTAATCTGTGAGAATGGGTAATATGTCTGGCAGGTGATAAATTGGATAAAAATGATTGATATAATTGCCATGATTTTCGCCGCCCCAAAAATTTGTCAGATAATAGCGTATATTATAATTACAGTTGCAAACACAGGGTCGCTTTTATGTATGGAAACGGTCGATTATTAGGTAAAATATAGGAGGTACCGCAAAAAGTTTAGTATAAAAGTTATAGGGTTTATAAATATCTATTAGCGGGTAGTAAATTTAAGTATACAGGGTCGGTCATAAAGTCGTGGGACATCAAAGTGTCATTTTTTTAAATGGAACCCCCGTATATTATTGCATATGTCGGTTCTTCCTTCAATTCTAAGTAAAAATCGAAATACACACAATGTACCTCATACCAGCCGTTTCCGAGTTATTCACTTTTCCGAAAATATCACTTAAACAATTTGATTTAATTAATTTCGATATATTCAGTGTCATTTAACGATGCCATTTTGCCGAAACTGTGATACTTAATAATATTTGACATTAGTTCTCAAGTTGGCTTATATGTATAAAATGAGAGTATAGCAAGTCTGGAAATTACAAAATTTTCGTATAGCATTGTGTATTACGATTATTGTTTAAAATTGAAGGAAGAATTGAAATATGTAATAATATACAAGGGGAATTGTTTCATTTGAAAAAAATTAAAGTTTGAAATTGACTAGTAGCTAATAGGAATTTAAAACCCCATTACAACAGTATCACAGATTCGACAGAGTGGCATAATTAAATTAAACCAAACACATCGAAATTAATTAAATCGGGTTGTTTAAGTGATATTTTCAAAAGGCAATAACTCGGAAACGGTTGCTTTGAGGTACATTGTGTGTATTTCGATTTTTGCTTAGAATTGAAGGAAGAATTGAAATATGTAATAATATACAGGGTGATCTATTTAAAAAATGAAACTTTGATGTCCCACGACTTTATGAACGACCCTGTATACTTAAATTTATTATTCGCTAATAGATATTTAAAAAACCTATAACTTTTGTATTTAACTTTTTATGGTACCTTCTATATTTTACCTAATACTCGACCGTTTCCATACATAAAAGCGACCCTGTATAGTCCTTGGTATTTGGTATAGTCTGGCTAATGTGCAACATTCCGAAGCCTTGCCAGACTCGTGCAACACTCGTTAGGCGCGCTAAATTCATAAGCACGTGGCGCTTCCTCTCCTAAAAAGCTGCCCACAAACAGAAAGGCCCGGCCTTCGGACTGGGCCATGACGCCGGGCCTTTCACCCAAATTACCGTAGCGGAAATATATCCGCGGACTTCGCCTTTCACGCAAACTTACGGTATTTTGTGTGAAAAGCCAGGCCTCAAGGCCAAGTCCGAAGGCCGTGTATGGGCAGCTATTTAACAATAGCTGACTTGTGAGTTTGGCGGGGCTTTCATGACTGTAAATGACAGACAGCGGAAATTAAGTACAAAAAAAATCACTGCCCCCTGGACTAAAATGATAGAGAAAAGTTTAACAGGTTGACGACCTCTTTCTTCTCTCTGAATAAAATGTGGAATTTTATCTATGACATAAATAAAAATATTTTTGTTTTTAGAAACAAATTATAAGAGACATAACTATTTGTATTTCTTGAAAAAGTACCTTTCTTGAAAAGTTTTGATTATCCCACTCTCTATTTTCCGATATACTTATACAGGGTGAGTCTAAAATAAGTGATAATATTTTCAGGGCTGGTAGATCTCGATAAAACAAACATATTTTCTTTTTATAGTTTTTCAATTAGGTCCAAAATAACCGAGTTATTCAAATTTGACAATTAAAAAAAAAGATTAAATAAAATTGAGAGCCCTTTTTAGTGCCGTAACTATAAAGTAAAGTCGTAATTGTAGTAATATCAGAGATTAAGACATTATACCGGCAGTTCCAAAAAGTTTTCTAAAATATACAGGAAATTTTAAAAGAAATGCAGGATTTACGTATTTCTGGGGTCGAAATATACCATCCTTAAAATATTTGCACTTATTAAAGACCCACCCTGTATAATTATCTAATTTAAAAACAAATATGTCATAAATATATTACACTTTTAAAATAATTAGTAGTATAAATAAAAAAATGAAAAGTCTAAAATAATATTAAGAAATCAACAGTTAAACCCATTATAATTAATAAAAAAATGTATACACGTTTAAATAATGAATATTATACAGGGTGAGTCTTAAATAAGTGCAAATATTTTTAGGGTTGGTAGAAAAGAAACCTATTTTCTCTTTACAGTTTTTCAAATAAGTCCAAAGTAACCGAGTTATTTTACTTTGAAATTTTAAAAAATATGATTTTTGCTGAAATTTTGAGAGCCTACTTACTAGATTATTTCTGGATTTCTTTAATGTTGCCATATTGTCAAGAAATTATGGTTTTTAACCAAAAACTAAAAAAAAATCCAAATTTTCAAAAAATGTTATCGAAAAAAATCTCATAAATTCTCTCACCCAATCACTAAAAATATTTGTACTTATTTAAAACTCACCCTGTATATAAGAACGTATTTTTCGCTCATACTAAATATATTTTTAGCTATTTTCGTATTATTATCCTGAAATTGCATGGTGGGATCATTACATCTTCAAGTTGATAATATTGCTGCCTCTGCTGGGTCTATGTCAAATTAGGGAGATCAAACATATGGTTCCGTTTTCCTTTATTGCTAACATCATGCTGGCTGTAGCATTCGGTATAACGGCATACTATACAGTTTCTGGTTTACCAAGTGGAGGACAATCGGATGCTAAACTAGCTACAAGTCTTTCTGGTAAATAGATGTGATTAATTTTTTTCTGAGCGTGCATTAGAAGTTTCTAGAGAACCACAATATCTAGACCGGAGATTATTTGCACATCATTGTCGCACAACGAGATCTATCCATTAAACATATTTGCAATATGGCGGCACTCTTTTTTTTATTACATACTTAAATTCTCTGTAAAATTTTATGAATTTTGATATCACACTCCTATACCAAACATAACCGTTTTTAAGAAAAAAAAAACATTTAAAATTTTTAACAATTTAAAACAATAGATCTGGCCATGTCATATTGTTCAAAAAGTAGTATGTATCAGTATATTATCGATCATCATTTGCAAGCCAACTTTGCGTTGTTTTTTTTTTCAGGGTTTATTCTATTATATTATTAATATAATTAGATAGATTAGATATTTAGATATTAGATATCACCAAGGAGCGAAAATACATTTTTGACAGATAGAAATAAATTGTCTGAATTTTTGACACTTAATGTCAAAGGAAGCTAGATAAAATCAAGAAAAATATACGTTTTCAACTAAATCTTAAATAACTAACCTAAAAACGATTTATTTTTGGTATAGGAACATGTAGGTACCTATAGTTAAAAATTAACGAATTGTAAAATCTTTTCACTAGTGAAATAAAAAAAGTGGGTTTCCATTTGAAAAAAAAATGTTTTATGATAATTTTTTAATCGCTCAATTCCATGACAGCTACCGGCATTATTATATGATATTTGAACAATTTAATTTTTGAAATAGATAGCTACATATCTTCTCTTTCTGTCACAGTAGCTGTAGGTATCACTAAATTTGACTTTTAGGCTATACAAATTTTTTTGACAGGTAGTTTTTTCGTGGAAAAATTTTAAATATTTTTTTTTCTCAAAAACGGTTAATGTTAGATATAGAGTGTTTAACATAACTATTCATAGAATTTTACAGAGAATTTAAGTATATAATAAAAAATAGGGGCGGCCATTTAAAATAAGAAAGTTGTAGTAAACTTCCGAAATTTCCGGAAGTGCCGCCATATTGAAACTATTTTTAATCGATAGATCTCGTTCTAAAACAAAGATGTGCAAAAAATCTCCGATCTAGATATTCTGGTTCTCCAGAAACATCTAATGCACGCTCAGCCTGGGACACCCTGTATACAATACTCACCTAAAGTTCGAAACAAATGGATTTTTTTTTAATGGGCTGATGAATTAATAAAAAATAGTTATACAAACGCTATTGACATTTTTCAAAAATCATATTTTTTTTGGAAAAAAAATGGTGTGGATAATTGGAAAGAAATCTAAAGAATCTTAGTATTCCAGTTGGGGTTTATAATGAAATTTTGTAAAAATAGAAAAAATAGAAATGCCAATTTTCAAAATATCAAATTTTAGTACAGGGTGGGTCAAATTCGACGCTTTTAAATGGAAACACCCTTTTCTATAGGAGATAGACAAAAACTAATAACGGTGTCTGGAGCTCAATTTTTGTCAAAAACATGATGGTGAAACCCGCATATCGATATCTGTTACCGTTTCGGAGTTACGGGGTGTTTTTCAAAAATATGCATTTTTAACAAATCGCTGTAACTTTTTTGCCGAGTTTTTTGCTATGGAAAATTTTGTATTTTTATGAAAACATTTCCAAAGCACCTTTTTACGTAGAATTTAACGGTTTAAGTATATATTTTTTAAAATTAATAATTTAAGAATTATCAACAGAAAATTTGATTTTTTATATGGGACACCCTGTATATTTTTAATTTATTGAAAATAACTTAAAATTACCTTTCCAAAAATATAACACACTTGATATTTTGCTCGATTCCTCTTCGAGATATAGAGTATATAAAAATTCGCCCGCTTTAAAAAATAAGTAGGCTTTGAACGGCACCGGCTGTAATGTAAAAATGGCTGTAAAACGAAAATAATATTTGCTATGAGAGATGCAGAATTTTATAACAATTTAAAATATATTTAACCAACATCAACACATTTAAACTATATCTAATAACAATAAAATTAATAAAAATAAATAGCAAATCAAGACATTTTCTTTATTCTTCCGCAAATATATCTATAGGATTAGATCCATGGGCATTAAGTCAGGCGGCTTCGACGGCCAACGGCTGGGATCTTGGTTAGCTTTCAATTATTCTTGAAATTGGCTGCAAAAATTTGCTGATAACTTCAGCGCTCGGAGGCGGTGCGTCGTCTTGCTGGAAAATATGTTTTCGAGTTCCATTAAGGGCATACCATCAATAAGTGGTCCAAAGCCTACTAGTTAAAACTAGAGATCTTTTAAAAATTCTGTATTTCGAAGGGAATTAAAGCAAAATATCAAGTGTGCTATATTTTTGAAAAGGTAATTTTAAATTCTTTTCAGTTAATTAAAAATATAGAGGGTGTCCCAAATAAAAAATCAATTTTTCTGTTGATAACTCTTAAATTATTAGTTTAAAAAAAAATTATACTTAAACCATTAAATTCTACGTAAAAAGGTGCTTTGGAAATGTTTTCATAGAAATACAAAATTTTCTATAGCAAAAAAGTTACAGCGAATTGTTAGAAATGCACATTTTTGAAAAACACCCCGTAACTCCGAGACGGTAACAGATATTGATGTGCGGTTTTCACCATCATGTTTTTGATGAAAATTCAGCTCCAGACACCGATATTAGTTTTCGTCTATCTCCTATAAAAAAGGGTGTTTCCATTTAAAAGCGTCGAATTTGACCCACCCTGTACATAGAGAAAAAAGGAAATAATCTTATTTTTTCCTTTAGAATATTTTGAGTCGCATGTTAATAGAAACATAAGAATAATATAGTGCATAATATGATGCATATATTGTGTTATATGATTAACACTTCTGTAATACCTAATACAAAATGCAAATACCTATTTGTACATTTTTGTAACAAAGGTTTCATTTTTAAAACGCAATAAGAAAAATTAACCGGTTTTTTTATAAAACAAAATACTTTTGAAATAATAAATATATAGGCGATACCAATTAAATTTTCAGTTACGTAATCGAGGGCCCGATTTTTAAGTTCATTGTTGCCAAACATAGACATATTCGCTGGATATTCAGGTGGTAGCTCTGCTGTAAAAAATGCCAAGTTTCCACATTTATTTATTTATTTCCTGACATGGTCGTTGGTTTAGACACTTTAGTTTTCTATTATGAGATTTTGGTTTAAATGAATTGTGTTGTGATACTTTAAGCTTAACATTTTTTACTAGCAGTCCTTGCAGTTGTACAGTGTTCTTTTTAGAACCTTTTTTAGTGCTAAGCGAAGAAGATCGCTTAATATCCATTTCAAAAAATTCATAGATCAACTTTATTATAATAGTTTTAACAGGAAAGCGGTAGTAGTGGCCCTTTGTATCCCTTAAGTGTTGTTAAGGAGGTGTGTTTTGTTGATGTAAATAAAATAACTGTTTATATATTTATAGTTAATTTATTTATTTTTCTAAAATATTTTTTGATTAAAAAAAATATACAAAAGTGGGCAACACTGTGACGGTAATCACGTGACCAAATGTTTATTTGGTATGAACTATACATATCCAATACTGATTGAATTGTTGTATAGTTTAATGCATTATTTAAAATAATAATTTTATAAAAGATAATAGTTTAACATAATAATAGTTTATAACATATGGGGGTAAACTTTGGAATTTTGTTAAATAATTCAGAATATACCCAGGTTTGGGTATATGCGGCCAGTCTTAATATGAAATATACTAAAAATAACGATTTTTAGGTATTCCATCTTTCCTAAGCACTGTTCTGTTTGCTATGGAGGGAATAGGTACTATAATGCCTGTAGAAAATTCTATGACCGAACCTAAATTTCTCGGATGGAACGGGGTACTGAACTGCGCCATGGTTTTGATAGTCGCTCTGTTTACGGTAATAGGATTCCTTGGATATTATAGATATGGGGAAGATACTGAAGTGACAATTACGAAGAATTTACCAGATGATGAAATGTAAGTACCGAATGATAGAAATTGTCTCTTAATTATTATTTCTCGTTTTTGGCCTCTTTCATTAGATAAAGGCAATTTTATTATACCTTTTCTGTTTTATAAACACTCAGAGGGGCGAAAACCCAACGGAGAAAATTTTGGTTAAATTTAAAGTGTCATATTTTTGTTATTTCTAGCCCTATTTCCATGAATTTTTTAGCACGCGCTATATAATTATATCAACTTTAATTTGTAAACTCAGTTTTTTATAAACTTTAGTATTTGGCATATTATACAGGGTTATTCGAAGGGTTGTTTTTTACCCTAACTTTGATCCACCCTGTGCAATAATTTTGTGAGCAAATTTTCCTAAAATATAATTTTACGGTCAGATCCATGTCTCTTGAGCGTTTTGTTTTTTAGGTCATGCCAATAATACATGCTTTGGTTAATTTTTAAGAGCGAAATGAACTCGCCACCAACAATTTGCAATTTTTCCAATTATAATATCTTTTTGAACTTTTTTTTCAATACGACAAGGCAGTTTTAGTGATTATTGTGAATTATATACTACTATGAATTGCTCATCATGTTCGACGTTTGGGAAATGCTTGGCAGGAAGGTTAGAGATCACGAAGCGGTACCAGTTTCATTAAATGAACTTCGCTTGGTTCTTGAAGAAGAATGGGAAAGCATAACACAATATGATATATGCCAGTCTCAATGACAGTATGAACGGACGTATAACGGCAGTTATAGGAGCCCATGATACAAAGAATACAAGGTATGATATTGCGCAGGTTGGTCACTACGTCACAGGTGATAAACGGCACCATTGGTCGCCAAGCTCTGCGAGCCAATTTCAAATTGTCAAACAGATTGTGTCATCCGTGAAATTTAATTGTGTCAAAATGTGAAAATAATTTTTCAAATGTCAAGCTCGATGATTTGACATGTCCTAATTCTTCCCTCGTTTAGGTCTTTTTTTATTAGTGGCAATTGAACAATATGGATATTTTTTTGTCTGGCGTATGACGTCACAGGTGGTATGCGCAAACTGAACGAAATTGGACCCGCTATCGATCATACCTTGTTTTCTTTATACCATGATAGGAGCCAGGGGAAGCAATACAAAATATTAGGGTATTTTTGACAATTTTTTTTCTGCTGGTATATCTGATTAACCCTGTATAATATGCCAATTACTAAAGGTTATAAAAAAGCTAAGTTTAAGAATTAAAGTTGATATAATTATATACAGTTTGCTAAAAAAGTCATGAAAATAGAGCTTAAAATAACAAAAATATAACACTTTAAATCAACCAACCAAACCAAACTAAAAATTTCTCCGTTGCGTTTTTTTGCGTCTGAGTGTAGAACCACAGATTATACAGATTATAATCTTTGTTTTTTCTTTATTGTTATTCGTGGTCCCAATTTTCGGAATCGGGCACTAGTTAGGTGACTAGTTTGCGCACATAGCATGCCCACCAAAGACATTATAAAGATAGACCGAACATCTCATTCATAAATACTCGTTGGTAGTGTATCAAACATTCCAATGTGTCAAACAAGGACAGAAGAGACAGAGAAGTCTAAAATTTCCGACCCCGGCAACTAGGCGCATTTGGGATTGTTCTAATGGCCAGTGGCGTATCGTTTTTTGGAACGAATTTAATTAGTTAAGTAAAAGTAAAGTAATTAGTAAAATTTTTACTCTATATTAATATACTACATTAACACTTTTTCGTCAGATGAGTTTTGTTATAAGGTCTAATATAATAATACAATTAATATCCCACATATACTTATGTTGAAACGTTAGTAGTTTTCGAAAATCACTCCAACGTCGATTTTCAATTTAAACTTTCAGTTACTTCTATATAAACTTTCAGTTACTTTTGAATATTTACAGGGTGACTCATGCTTCCGAAATAGTTCTATATTAGGTTTGTGGTTGGTTTCTTTCAAAATTTTTTTTCAGAATATGGAGGCATTTAGGCACATTTTAGACATTTTTGTAAACATAGATGGCCGGAACATATTTTCAAACCAAAGTTGTAGATTTCCATTCCAGAAATACCTAGGGTTGCCACTTGTCCTTTTTTGAAAAGGACAGTCTTTTTTTGGAATAACTTGTCCTTTTGACTTTTTTGGCTTAAAAAGTCATTTTTATTTACGTATTTTCCCTGAGAAAATTACCTACAGAAAACAGAAATATTCTTTTCGCCCAAATTTAATTAGGAATGTTATAAAACTTAACTTATAAATAAATTTTTCTTGTTTAGAATAGGCAACATTATTTAGAACTTCCCGTTTAATCTCAAATGATAGTTTAGGTTTTAGTTTTACCTTTTTTTATCTTAAAAAGAACTTTTCAATATTAATACCTAATTAGTAACGATTTAGTTAGTTCGCAATCGATAGCTTCCTGTGAAGTACTGTGTAATAGTTGTTTAATCTTGTATTATTAATAACTTCCTATACCTAAAATCAATATTTAATGAGAAAATTGTGTTTTTTTTTGAAAATATAAGACAAGATTTGACTTTCGGTCTTCTTCTTGTATTATGATGGCTCTGATACAAGGCAATTGCCTTTTAGTCTCGCAATAGAAGGCATTTATCATTAAAAGTATAAAATCTGTGTGCTACAGTATGGGATTTCTGTCACATAATAATGAATACCTGTTACGTTTATTTACAAATCCATTTCTTTTAAAGGTAGCTTCATCAGATAATCAAATTTTAGTTAAATATCCTAATCTTCATGAACTGTATTAAGCATATGTATTGCGGTTTGAATCACCCTGTATGTTGACAAAAATATTTTGAAAATGTGCGTTACAATGGCCCCCATCTTATGTAAAAAATTGAAATAAAAATCACAAACAAAAAACGTAATAGGTAAAAAGCTTTTTGGAGGCCTGGGTCGCTCTCTATATATGTATGTATAAAACTAGTAGCCTAAGAATTATTTACAGTTCGTCCCATTCTAAAAAAAGTTAAACAGACCGTACAAATAACTCTAGGAAGATGTATTTGTACGGTGGTAAACAATTGTCTAAACAAGGCCGAAGGGGCAGATATAATAAAGCAATAAAATGTAAAATAGGTCGGGTTAACACCTTTGTTTATTTATTGAGCAAAATTCCTTTAGAATATCGTATATAATGACCAAAATAGGACGCAATTTTAAGAAAAAAATGTCACTTTCTGGCTTATAATAAAGTTTCAAATGTAACGTTAATATTCAAATTTGTTATGATCTACAACAGTTAGGTAGTAATTGAGACGAATTATAATTCAATTACCGGCTTCTACGTTCTTGTTTTAATAGATCAAAATTTAACAAATATAATTAGAAATTATTTTAATTGTGAGAGGCTCCCTTGTGGGACGCCCATGTACGATTACGGCGCGGCGGAAACAATACTTACCTGTGAAAAGACAAATTCGGGTAATTTGAGCTTATTTGTCCACACATTTGACACTGTCATACCATATTAAAAATTCGCAGATTCAAAAGTACATTAAACAAAAACAAAAACTACTGAAAAACACTGAAAAGTTCACTTCGGACTTGATTCCGACTTCAAACACACCGTAAGCTAAACATAGTACGCTATAACGGACCATGGGCCGTCGCGAGGGGTGGTGGGACGGACGGCTCATTTCATTCTGGAAGACTAGCAGCGACGTTGCCAGTAGTTCTAGACGTTTCAGCACATTAAACAATAAACATGTCTTTTAATAGTAACGCATATATCCTCTGGTTAATAACATATTATTACGCATGCTTCTTTAAAAATAAACTATTAATTTAATTAAGAAATTGAGATTTATTGATATCCGGTGAAGGTTTTAAAGTCACCCTTTCTGCAAATCAAACTAAGTAGATAGGCGCAAATTTGATATGTGGCAATGTCGCCTTCTCTATCTCAGTTGATTTTTACAGTACGTAGTCAACCTCCGAATGTTTGATCGGGTTAAAATGCATAATGTGATATCTGTTCTTCCTAAATCTATGATGCCCACTTATGGCCTCTAAAATTGTGCACAGCGCCTGACCGGCACAGTTATTAGAGATATCGCGAGAGATATCGCAAAACCGAATAGCGTCATGCAGTATTTACGCGTACCTTATCATGGTCAGTCATGGTTACTATATGCGCGAGTCAATTTTTAACGCAACGCCCGCTAATAACGTTACCGTCTAACGTAATTTGCGGATCAATTACACCAAGCGCTATTTCTAAATAACGTTTAAAAATTGCTTAAATGGGCATGTGCGGGTATTGACAACCGGGGCCGGCCGGCAAGATCTTTTATTTTAGGTTATGTTCGAATTGTTTTGAATTATTACTTTAGTTTTATTAGGTAATTTGATATTTAAGTAGCTGGGATTAGTTTTAATTAAATAAATATGGCCCAAAATATGGATTCCACCTCTTCCAATATTAAAGAACCTATAAAGAGACTTAAGCGATTCGCGTCTACATATGAATAAGACGCGAATCGCGATTTTGCGAAACTGCTCTCATTGGTCCAATTTTAATGATCATGGCGGCGCTGTCAGAAATTTTAAGATTTTGGCGATTCGCAAGATTTAAAATTTGGGGGGCGGGAAAGTTAAAGTGTTTTCAACTTTTTGCGAGTATTTGCGCGATTTTAAGGTTCGCGTTTGAGCAGAATGGTGTTGTGATCGGTTATCGATTATTTTGACGACGCTGACAAAGTACAAAGTAACTGAAAGGATTTCTCCAGGTAAAATGGGTTCTCGTGCATATGTTTATGATAGATATGTTTTTGATATACAGGGTGTCCCAGAAATAAGTGCAAATATTTTAACTGGTAGTATAATTCAACCCCAGAAACACGCCTATGAGTTTTTTTTGGCGAAAAAAAATGTTGAAAATTTAAAATTTTTCTTGGCATTTTCCGGGAAATTTGAAAAAACTTTTTAGTGCCACTTGTTTATTCACCTGAGATTTCTCTACTGTGTATCTAAACCTTGCAGTGTTGCAACCTCCTATGTTATCCACATTCTACATAGTTCTACATTTATAAATTCATAGACAAATTTCTACTGAAAAATTATGAATTAATTTAATCTTGCATCAGTGCTCATTATTAATAATTATTATAGAAAAAAACACATTAATAATTATTTTTTGTACTTCAATGAAAACTTAACAAAAACCACCGAAAATTAACTAAAACATTATGGTTATGACGTTTACGAAAATGATTCATCATATTATTCACAACCAGGTCACAAAAAAGAAATTCCTAAAATGTTTATCGTAATTTAGAATTCAATATATCGAAAACAGCCCAACGAATAATCGATTAATTTCCGTTTTGTCTGTTTTCTTTCATGTTTCTCTGTTTTATTTGAACCACTGATTTACAAAACACCTTGAAAAGCGCACATTACTTTGAATACCGTCTCTTATCGCCACTTTACGAACTACTTTCAATCTAAGAAAATACATGTTTCACTCAACAATTTTAAATACGTATTTTGTTTTTTCGCTATTTTTTCGATGTATTTCGACAGCCCATCCGTCGCTCGTCGGCCAAGAGTGCCACGTGTGAACTGGTCTTTTGAGCCGCGCCGTCGTGGCGGGCTTGCGTCAGACGAAGATGTTAAGCAACGTTGCCGTAGTTACAATTTCAAATTCAAGACATTCGAAGCAATCAAATTCGTATTAAATTTTAAAAATAAAACAGAGAAACATGAAAGGAAACAAACAAAACAAAAATGAATTGATTATTCTTCGGGCTGTTTTCGATATATTGAATTCTGAATTACGATAAACATTTTAGAAATTTCTTTTTTGTGACCTTATCAATAATCAATACATTTGTGTTTTGTTTGTTGTCTTTCATGCTTTTCTGTTTTATTTTTAAAATTTAATAAGAATTTGATTGCTTCAAGTGTCTTGAATTTGAAATTGTTGAAACCTCGCATGACGCAAGCTCGACGCGCCGGCGCGACAAAGGAACAGTGAGCAGTTTGAGTTGGCCGACGGTTGGACTGTCGACGGAATTGTCGAAATACATCGAAAAAATAGCGAAAAAACAAAATACGTATTTAAAAATGTTGAGTGAAACATGTATTTTCTTAGATTGAAAGTAGTTCGTAAAGTGGCGGCAAGAGACAATAATTCTCAACATTTATTCATTCAGAAAGGTATTCAAAGTAATGTGTAATGTGTGCTTTTCAAGGTGTTTTGTAAATCAGTAGTTCAAATTGTGACGAAGCCTATATGAAAATAATGTGTTAAGTGAAAAATGGGGACTGTTATTTTAGCAGTTTTTATAATAGCATGTACAAGTAAAGCAGCACAATGAAGTGTATTTTAGTTAAGTGTGTATCGAAAAAGAGAACTGTCGCAGTTACATCGATCTGTCATAAGTATCTTTTTTGGGTAATTTTTGGTATGTTAGGTTAGTTTTTTAATTTAACTTTTTTAACTTTTAAACGTTTAACTTTTAATTTATTTTATGTAATAATATCACAACCTTAAAAATGTAATGCATCTTTGCATTACATTTGGCAAACTCCTCAGGTGTTGTGATTTTATGACTTACTTTTAACATATACTTTCTTCCGGGGAAATCCGGGCTTGATCCGGGTAATTGGATTTAGTTGGCGATATCTGCCGGCGGTTCTCAAAATGTTGCGATAATTTTTTTAAATTTTCAAAGTTAAATAACTCGGTTATTTTCAATTTATTTTAAAAATGGTAAAGAGAAAATATGTTTATTTTGACCAGATCTACCACCCCTTAAAATATCTGCACTCATTTCTGGGACACCCTGTATATATGGTGACAATTTTTCAACCAAGTTATCAAACTCCTGTACAGACAATCTGTGAAAATTCCTAAATTTATTCTCATCTTTTGTCCTAATTTCTTGAATTAAATTGCGATAAGCACCCTTGTTGCTTACGAAATTTAAATATTTCACATGTCCCAAATGACCGTTCTCTTCTACGTTTTAACAATAAGTAAATGACAATTTTACACCTTCTGTTCCAATCCCACAATGGTAATCAATATTCATAGTCATTAAACAAATTTGAACTCATATTAGATTTGTTCGGGTTCTTGTTATTACCGATTCTAAACCGTCCTAGAACTCTGCAGCGCATGCGCAAATGAAATAATGTCTTCATATTTCCTTCTGCGCATACGCATCACAGTTCTAGGACGGTTCAGAATCGGTAATAAGAGAAACCCGAAGTAAGCTATTGTATGCTATAAAATATAAAATATAGGTCGTAAACACGAATAAAAAACAAATTAAGTTATCTCAGGTTATGATTTTTTTTTGGTAACTTTTAGTGGAGTAAAAATGAAATGTCCCTAAAAATTCGTGACTGTATGAAATAGGTCCAAATTTTGCGAATATTTTTTGGCGAATCGCTTTCCGCAATTCGCAATTCGCGTCTACATGAAACAAGCTTTAGGTTTACAGCAGATGACGACTTAGCCCTTCTAAGAGAATTATTTGTTGCTTGTTGCTCTAAACCCACTGGCAGACGTTGAACAATAAAGCACTGGAAAGAAGCACTTTAGCCCTTTAGTTTTAAAATACCTAGTAAACAAAACAATTTCAAAGTTTTAAATTCAAAGTTAGGTTAAGTTTAAATAGCGGACGCGACGCGAACAGAATTCTTTCCGATCCCATAACAATAAATGAAGAGAGTTAATACCACCTCACGTAAAGGAAATAACATCTGGCCTTATTAACGTCCATGCACGCTATTCGGTTTAGTGATATCTCTCTATTACGCTGTTTATTGTTATTTTACGGGAGTTTATTTTTGCGCACAGGAAATTTGACTCGTTTGCACATCGTCATAAAAAACAACTTTCGTACCACGAATTAGGGATAAGATTTTTATCTGTATACATATAGTATACTTACTCTGTGGTAGAACCTTTCTTTGCTTTTTGCTTCATCTACGGTTGAGTAGGTGAAGCAAACCTGCAAATATTAATTTTAATTATTGTTTTAGTCCAGCCCAAATTGTGCAAGCCGCAATATCTGTTTCTGTCTTCTTTACATTCATGCTAATCTTTTTTGTACCTGCTGATATTATGTGGAGGAAATTGAAGGGTAAAATTTCCGAGGAGAAGCACAATATTAGTCAAATAATATTAAGGGTGGTTATGCTGGTGTTAATCACAGGTAAACAAACATGCTTTCAAATGTCTTCCCCAGTAACTTCTCCTATATCATAAACCAGTACATATTTAGATAAAACAAACATTTTCAAAATTTCCTTCATCAACGCGTCTATAGTTCATATCAAATAAACTTTTAGTCACGTGATTAAGCTTGACCGGCACAGCGTTGCCCACTCTTACATATTTTCTGTAAATCAAAATATTTTTGGAAACAAAAATAATTTTTAATTACACTCATCGGCAAAAGTCTTACACCCCCTTACTATTGTAATAAAAAATGAATGAGCTCTGTTCGCCTATTGTACATGATGCCACCCCAGAACATCTCAGTTCCTCCTTGATAAGGAGTAACAGCAAGGGCTGTATTCAAGCGATGCTGCCTCCCTGCCTCCCTCGCTGACGATAGTCATCACTGATCAAACCTATCCTGGTTTCGTCAGTGAAAATTACGTTTCTCCACTGAGGTAATAACCAGTTCTCGTATTCTCTAGCCCACTGTAGCCTCCTTTGCCTATGGTGTAAAGTTAATAGAGGGACTAGCAGTGGACGTCTACGCCGCAATCCAGCATTAGAAAGTCGCCTGGAAATGGTTCGGCTTGATATCACTCGGTGGTAACTTCGTTGAAACTGAGATCGTAGCTCTCGAATTGGAACTGACCGATTTCCTCTGGCAAATTGAGCCAAGTAGCGAACCTGTCGTTCAGTCGTCACCGTTAGGTTATTTTCTATGGTCGTCAGCCTTGTACGGCCCAACCTAGGATGAGATCTTACATTTCCGGTGTCCATATACCGTTGTATAATTCGGCTTACAGTACTTCGCATTAAATTTAAACGAACAGCAATTTGATGCCTGCTGAGACCTTCTTCATGCAAAGCGATAACTCGGGCCCTATCGAAGGCAGAAATTTTGTGCCCTGGCATTTTTGTCACCTTTCACAACACTTACTACAAGATTGAACTCGAACTGAGAAACAAAATTTGACGGCAAATAGCAAAACCATACACATTCCATCGATAAGGTTTTCTTTCATTGCTTTTATGACTTATTTTTTGTAGACACATATTAAGGTATTTGTACACATAGCCACAACAACATGGTATGCAAAGAAATAAATTTATCTGCGGGGTGCAAGACTTTTGCCGATGAGTGTATTATTTTTATCTAACAAATAATAATATGTTTCTTTTAATATCTAGGTGTGGCTATTGCTGGTGGAGAACATCTTGGTGGATTGATAGATTTAATAGGAGCAATATTTTTCTCGTCCTTGGGATTTTTTGTACCAGCTCTACTAGACACAATTGTCGATTTGGAAGAGGGATGGGGAATTTTCCATTGGAGACTGATAAAAAATATTTTTATAATGCTGTTGGCGATATTTGCTCTAGTTTGTGGAAGTTACTATGCCGTTGTAAATTAAATTTCTTACGAAATTCCGTCTTCTGTTTATTTTATACTGTGAATCACAATATACTATTTAAAATAGGTAAAAACGTACACATCACAAGATATACCATCCTGGACAGTTCAACTGCGTGTTGGCCTGTATTTTAATGCATGCGACAAAGATAAATATAACTGACCGCTTGACAGACCGAGAAACAAAATAAAACCAGCATACAGTGTTGCCGGTTTTTACGTGTGTAGGGAAATGTGGCAGAAAAAAAACTATTTTGAAAACTTTCTTGTATACTTCTGAAATAAAGAGAATATATCTAAGCTAAATATAATCTATTACAGCCGTAGTTAAATGAGTAAGTAATTGGGAAAAATAAAGTTCCAACTCTATAGATGCAACATTTTTCGTAATGGCTTACTTGTGCGGTTTGAAATTTTGATGCAAAATCCGGCAATACTGCATAGAAGAAATGTATCAACCCAATTTTTATCTATTATTAATACATTTGATTTGTTATTAAGCTGTGTGTGTAGACTTAGTAATATATGACTATCGTTTTTTATTCTAATGATAAATAAACATAACATAAGTAAAAATTAAAAACAAATAAAAAATAATTATATTATACAAAAAGTTTGAGGCTTTTTGGTTTTACTTCACTATGACTTCATTGAGTAATTGTTATCAGGTAGTAATTGTTAATTTTGAAGTATAACTTGGATATAATGTTATTTTAGCAGAATGATTTTTGTAGACGTACCTATTGAACTAAAGTTGTAAATATTTGGATATTTTAAATAATTTTTTTCTTTGTGCTTTGCGTTTTTATTTGCTTCTGACAACAATCACCTTACTTTTATGGATGTATAAGGGAAAATATTAGGCAAAAAAATGTTTTTTTTTTAATTTTCATTAAAGGGAAAAAATGATTTTTTTCCATAGCAACTGTTAAAATTGCCTTATATCTATCAAAAATAGTAGATAAAATAGTACTTTAACCGCAAGGGTAGATTAAATGATACTTTAACAGCGAGGATAGGTTAAAAACTTTATTTCTTCTCGCACGTTTTTTAATTGCTTCCATTTTTGAAAATTTTTGTATTCCTTTTCATAAGTTATTTGGGATTTAAATGAAAGTAGTTTGGATATGGCGTTTGTCGCCTCAGCCTGAATAAGTTGGTAATTTACTTATTTCGTTTTGAGCCATTTCTGGCTCCAATTCAATCAGCAATAATCGACACGAAAGAGAATTAAAAAATATTGACTCAAAACTGACAACTAAAGAGGCAGCTTTATTTATTTGTCAAATTACATAGAAAACCAACGCCAACCCAGCACAATATTTTTTCTACTCGTAATAAATTCCTTGAAATAATAATTTCTGAATATTTTTTAAAACGTATCTCGCTATGGAAAAAATATTGTTTTATATACGATGATAAAATTGCATTGTGACAAAAACTTTACTATATCGGAGGCAGTGGGAACAAGCTTTTGCTTCTGCACTTGACTAAAAAATGATACCCACCTATATCTTACACTGCATACCAAAGGGCGCCACTTATTTCAAAAAGATGCTAATACTTTACAAAGGATAGTACAACATGAAATAAGAAAATTTGTACAAGTGTATTAATTGAATGGAAACTAAAATTAGTATAGCAATTAAATATTTTGAGAAACTGGATCAACCAATGAAACAATTCAAATACCCAAAAAAATAAGATTTATTACTTGTTAGAAATATTCGGCACAGCAGTTATATACATGAATATACAGAAATTATATTTAAGAAACTTTATCTTAAAACTTGTTTAAAATCAAATTATGTCTTTTCAAATATTATTCAAACAATTATAATATAAAAAATACTTTTAGAGACGGTCTTGGTTATATCTGAATAATAAATATTTAAGTTTTATTTGACTTATTTCGAAGATTCATGAACCTTTTTGTTTATAATATATAGTCAAGGGAAAAAGTTTAAAATCTGTACCTAAGATTGCCCTTACAGGTCAAAGATCGTAATGATATAAAAGGTAAACATAAATAGATGTTAAATCCGAATGATCAATTCATACAACATGATTATTTTAATAATCAAATACAGGTAAAATTTAAGCAATGCTGAAGGCAAATACTTAAAGCGTTAAAAAATATAAAATGTAACAAAATGTCAAATTTTATAACTTAAGGGTTAAATTAATGCTGAAGGCAAGTACTTAACCAGTTAAAAGTAAAATGTTAAGTATTGTTAATTTCTTAACACACTAATGAGAGAGATTATTTAAAATCAAATTAATAAAATTTTAGTTCACTATAAAAAAATATACTGGCCTTGTATACCAAATTATACCAAAAAAGGATCTTCTTAATGATAAAAAAACATCACTGCATCCAACTTCTCCTCAGAGGGGTGCAGGGCTGAAATCTAACCGAACAGGCTGCTACTGATTAACTCGGTGATTGAAAAACTCGAAGAAAAACTGGTAGAAAAACTTCTAGACACCAGTGTAGAAACACTGCAGAAAAACGTCTAGAAATACTTGAAGAAAAATCCAAAGAAAAACGTTGAGAAAAATGCCGAGAAAAACCTCATTGTGAAGGCACAAAATCAATAATTTAACATTTCTTCTCAAATAAGGGCTGGACACTTCTCATCAAAAAACTGGAATCAAAACTATAGATCCTTTAAAATCTAAGCAATCAAAATCTATATGAGACCTTCAACCATCTATAGGATAACAAAATCACCCATATTGTGAAAAATACCAGCCACCAATTTCCCATATTGTGAAAAATACCAGCCAAATAAATTTCATTCTCAAAAAATGGCACGGTGACCTCGGCAACGGCCAAATCCGAGGTGACCATTTTGACGTTTCCCCTCTTGTCGATACACCAGGGTACCACGCCCTTTCTAATTTGAAGTTCAATAAAACACAAAGTTTACTTAATCTGAATGAGTTGCATAGAGGCCACTAGCTTTTTAATTTTAACAGCCGGGTGGTCGGGGTTCAAAGATATTAATAAAAGGGCGCCACGAGATTATACTCTATGAACTCGGCAATAAAGATGTAACTATTAAGTAGACTTCAACACTAACCTCGAACTGTTGAGTGCAACTACCATGAACTTCAAATATTCTATAACTATTTTTACTTAAGTGACTCTAACTTAACTATGAGACTAGACTGTAAATAATACTACTAAAAATATTTAAGCAATATATTGAAATATCAAAAAGTTAAATAGGATATATAAAAAGTTATTATATAAAGAAAAGAAATGAATGAAATGTAATTGAAGGTAAATGAAAATAGATGTAAAGTGAAATGAAATTTAAATCAATAAAACTAAAAGTATGACGTCATAATCCCCCTTACTTAAACTAAGTACAAAATCCTGGGTAGATTACAAATACCAAACTAAATCTAAACAGTCTTCCTCTAAGTCTTGAAATTACTCGGAAGTTCCTCCGGCTGCTTCACTCAAATGCTTCACGAAACGGCAGCCAGTTCTTCACGACGACACTCTTCAGTCGGTGGATACACAAGAAGTGATGCAAGGATTCGATTTCCTTCACAAAATCAGATTTCAACCGGAAATCTCTCTCCAAGATATAGATAGAGAACTATATATCTCGACTAGTCCAACTCACAAAAAGGCATAAATAAAAAACGACGTTCTAGAATATTTTTCATTGTCATATTTCATATCCGGTCAATGAACGAACTTATTCACAAATTCCCACCATTAAATGAACAAATTGCACACTGCGATCCACATCAAAAATAACCAATTTAACTACGAAATTTTATCTGATAATTATAAAATTTCAATAACCAAAACAAAGGATAAATAAATCCAAAAACATCTGATTTGATCTGACAGTGACAAGGGACAAGTGATGACCAAAGATTTAGAGAGATGGACAAAAATTCTAATGCTGGGCGGCATCCAGTGACAATATTCTGTGGCTCTATAGCGCGGTGTATATCGGGTTGCATAATGGTAAAATACTAAATAAAATAATATTTAACAATAAAATTATAGTAAACATGATGCAAAAATAACAGTTATTTGCGATAATTTATGAGCTAGCACACAGAGGTCCTTGCGAGGAAATTTGACTGTTACAAGAGTACGATCCAATATTTTCGATAGAGAGCGTTCCGAAATTTAAGCGTTGTAGAAATGTTAAAAGAATACCGATACAATAATAAAAAACCGTCTATAATAAAACAAAGTAGCGTTTGGAAAATGAAAATGCTACAGCATTATCGTCTCCAGAAATTAATTCACTCGCGATTTCGTCGCTCGTGAATTAATCTTTTCGGTCGACGATAAAATACCATTTTATCGTCTTGAATAAAAAATAACTATAAAAGTAAGCAAGTGGTTGAAGTTAATTGGATAATTGAATACTGATATTTCATAGATAAAAAATTTAGTTTCTTTTTATATGCTTATAAATAAAAGATTACCAAGAGAGTATTGGTAATCTTACAACTGGAAATTAGATTTTTATTAAATGTGAGAAAAAAAACTCTGCAAACCCAGTTCAATCTATTTTATCTTGACATTTTTTACATTTTTGTTGTTAGGTACTTTCACCAAAGCAATTAAGCGTCCCAAGCACGTAGTAAAAACTGCTCGATATTTAGCTGTAAAAGAATCTAAAAAATAGGGCCATCGTTAGGTATTCATTTTCCCAACATCCGAGCACAGGAAAGTGCGAAATTAGGAAATTAAAAACCTGATTTACAAGATCGTTAGGAAAATTGCCGTTTAAATTTTATTCTTTCTTCCTCATGCCCATTTGTTATACACAGCAGAAATATACAAAAGGATATAAATTAGTTTTACGCGCCAAAATAAAGCGTATAAAACAATTTTCTGGGAATCTGTTTACAGCCATTTTTAGTGGAGATAAATTTTATAAATACTGACACTAAAAATGTGTTTTGTAAGAATTTTAAGAGGAGAATCATTGACCAAATTCATATTTGACATTCACTTTTGCACCTTTTCTTTC